CGTGGAAAACTAAGTCCTCCTCAGAAAATTATTTTTCAATTTAATCACATTTCAAAACTATTTACCAAACTAATATTTGTCCTGATATGAAAAGAGAGTATTGCACTAAAACCACTAATTGAATTTGTGATTTAGGTGCAATAAAAAAAGTAACTATTACTGACAAGCAGTCTGTAAAAAATAGTTATATGAATGATAATAATTTTTATTTTGTATTGAGACCACCAATTTAATTCGTGGTTTCAATACAAAATGAAAATTTTAAGTTATCAATTTACCTTTTCACTAAAATACATAATTCGTTTGGTGGTTTTAGTGCAACTATGAGATGTAACCATTAATCAACAAAAAGTACATGGAAAATTAATACATGGGAAAATATTGTCAGATTAACTGCTGGTTTTAATAGAAAAATATTTATTCATTCAAAATATTTTTTCGGTTTTGGTTCACAACTATTTCAAGTTAAGTAATAACAACATAAATTTTTTCACACAGTTAAAAATTACCGAGAGTAATAAAGTGTTTCAAGTTAAACTTTTATGATGTTAAAAATGTCTTAATAACTAAAAAATGGAAATTTAATCATATTATTGTGTGTTTTAGTAAAAAGACAAATTCACAACTTAAAATTTTCATTTTGTATTGAAATGTGTTTGTAAAAAAGACAAAATTCACACTTAAAATTCTTCATTTTGTATTGAAACGCACACATGAATTGATAAGTCCCAATACATTTTGTATTGAAACCACCAATTGAATTGATAGTCTCAATACAAAATAAAAATTATTCTTTATTCATATAACTAATTTTTGCTGACTACTTGTCAGTACGAGTTACTTTTTCTATTGCACTGACACTACCAACTCAATTGGTGATTTTAGTGCAACATTCTATTTCTACATCAGGACAAATATTAGATTGCTAAGTAGTTTTGAAATGGTGTTAGATCGAAAAATAATTTTATGTATGGCATTATTTTTGTCCAAAGCTCAAAAATTAATATCGAGGTTATGAGAACCAAAAAAGTCAAAATTGAAACTTATCAATATCAATATTTAGAAAATGATGTACATTGATGAATCAAAAATAAGTAAAATAAAAAAAAATAAAATACTTAGCCTCGAGGAAGATTTGAAATCTCAGCTCAATAAACTATAAAGTGAAAGATAAAAAGAAAAGGTAAGTGGAAGAAGACCAAAAGAGAAGAAGCAAAACCTTAAGTATCGTCTGAAAGGAAACTCTCATAGACTCAAGAGACAGAATTATTGAATTATAATCGTTAAATCCGTTTCTTAATTATTACACAATATTAATAGTGTCTAATATATATTTGTCGGTCGCAAATCAGTGTTTTTTTAGCGTATATTATTAATGTAAATTAATGGTATTAAGGAGTCGAATTCTTTTTTCTTTTTTTTTAATAAAATAGAGAATAACAAAAGCTAACTATAATATAATCTTGAGACAGTAAAGAAAGAAGGTAAACAGGAGGATCTTCATAAATATGAGCACTGATCGAACCAAGAGCTTGAATAGAATCAAATTCTTAATTATTCAAGGAAACTGAAAAAAAAAAAGTGTAAATCACCTGTTATTCTTCTAAGAATTTATAACATTTGACTAAAATAATATTATTGTATCTTTTAATGTTTAGTAAAGGAAATTCTCATTAATGGGGTTTGAATGCTTTTAGGTACTTAACTTTAAACAATCTCACATCAATTAGCAATTATATGCTAAATTCAAATTTGTCTTATCAATTCAATAAGAGTGCGCAAATTGTTGGTTTGATTTCAAAATGAATGAATTCAAATCAGAAATTTAAAATCAAAATTGACTCAAATTGAAGTAAAGGTCAAATTTGAACCAAATTAATTTAATTCAATTGGTTGCGAAAGCATTTTTTTTAGCCAATTTGGTTTTAAGTCTAACTTTTGAGCTTTTCGAAATTGAATTGAATTAAGAAAAACTTGGATTTATTCAATTAAATTAAAAATCAAAATTCTTTTATTAAAAAATCTACCGAACCTAATAGATTTAATCGGTAAAAATATGCTCAATCCTACACTTAAGTCACTCCTTATAAAAATTAATTGAAGTCCTTAAACACATTATCTTGAATCCAAAACCTTTCCCTATTATCAACATAAAAAAAAAAAAAAAAGGTCTTTTGCCATCAACATAAAAAAATAAAAAAACAGGTCTTTAAAAAAAAAAAAAAAAGGTCTTTTGCCACATCCAATGTAGGAAAAAAAAAAAAAAAAAGGCAAAAACGAATTTGTGATTAAAGAATTAAATATTATTATTGCAACATTGTATTTCACACAAGATGGCTTAATTTTGGACTTCGTCAACTCAAGGACATTCTTATATATTATATCTAAATTTTATTCCTACTTGTCTTCTTCTCATTGTTGCACATAGCTAATTAATTACCTTCCTTTTAGAAGAAATGATTAAGCTAATCTAAAATTTTAGTTGTTGTTTCGTTATCATAATTCAATATTTTTCTAAAAAAGTAGATTTTCAAGAGAGTATTTATATGAATAAGAATGCATATTTATTTGATTATAAATAATAATTTTTGGGGAATGTATCATAATTTGTTTATTGAATTTATGAAAAAGTTTATATGTAAATTCTAATAATAAAGTAATTGTGGATATTTTCTTGAAATTTTAGAATTATTCCATACAAATATAAGCACTAATTCAATAATTTTAATAATGATCACAATAATTCAAATTCAAATGGGAAGAAAAACTATAGAAAATTTTCAATTGGAATCTCACAATTCCAAACTCCTAAAAGAAATCTAAATTAAAAAAATTTTAAAGAATATACCCTTGCATTTGAATATTTTAGTTTACTTTTGAAATTTAAGATTTAAATTAGTGAATAACAAATGTTAAAAACATTTGTAACCAATTATTCTGAATCCTCAATTAAAACATATAGTAAATAATAATCTTTCCGTTTCATTTTGTTTGCATGGTTTGACGAAACATGCATATTAAGAATCCAATTAAAAAAAAAATATATTTTGTACTTTTTTACCCTGAACTCATTAAGATATTAATAAAAGTCCTTTATTTAATGGACAATTATAAAAATTATTATTAAAAAATAATTATTTAAATATATAAATTTATATATTATTTAAATATATTAATATTATATAAATTTATATAATATTTTGGTAACATTAAGATATTAATAAAAGTCCTTTATTTAATGGACAATTATAAAAATTATTATTAAAAAATAATTATTTAAATATATAAATTTAAAAATTCTATAAATATTTTGGAACATAAGAAAAAATAATAAATAAATAAAATGAGACGGAAATAATATATTTTATTAAATATAAAAAAAATAAATACAAGGGTGCCAAACTATGGACCCAAATCTAACATAAAAGTAAAGTTAACCATTCTTGTTCAATCATCCTAGATTTGTTGATGGAGCTCAAATAGCAGTAAATTAAATGACAAGTTGGAACCCTTGCATTAATGATAACAACCTATGCCTATAAAGTTTGGGTCAAAAGCATAGAAATCAAGACTTTTTACCGACCTATGTTAAAAATAGGCATCTATACCATATTTGTTCCAATGTGAAAGTAAAATTCATATAAATTATGGGACAAATGCATAAAATTACATGTGTAATTTACGCGATTTGTCTCTTTACACTCTCAAATTTACGAAGAATTTATTATAATTTTATATTTCAATAATAATTATGTATTTTGTTAAATAAAATGTAAAAATACAGAATTATGATTGAATTCTTATAAAATTATTTTATTTAGAAGATAAACGTAATTATTATAAAAATATAAAAGTGTAAGATCATAATTGATTCACCGCAAAATTAAAGGTGCTATGAAGCCGCCCTAACATTAATCTCATAAATTTTAGAGATTAATTTATGCATTAAGGTTATAAACACGAGACTTTCTTTGTAACTTGGAACAAATAGTCTAGAATGGATCCTTAAAAAATAATTAAAGAAAGGGGTACGTGTGGGGCACGCGCTAAAGAATGAGAGTGGTGGGGAGCAGAAAAAAGGGTCATAAATACGAGGTACAGCAGAGGAAGGGCATTGGTCGCTAGGAGAACGAAAGAGGCAAATGTGGCCCTCTTCCCGTACTCTTGGATTGGACTTTTCTGGAAAGATTTTCCTTTTCCTAACATTATTCCCATTTCCTTTTCTGATGCCAATAACACTCTCTTCCTCTCTATCTATCTATCAGAGCTTCTTTTTTTTTTAAATTACAGGAATGCCCCTGCCTCTTTTATCAAAATTCCCATTTTACCCTAACGGTTTGGTGCTTATTTACTACTACAGGTTGTGATGTAGATTATGGTAAAAACCAGGTGAAACAAAAAAGAAGAAAGAAATGGGGAGAAATGGAAGTGTGACTTTGTGAGTTTTGTGACTTGTGACGTGAGTGTGTGAACAACGATAATTAATAGCTAATAAAGGTAATTGAGTAATTAGGCATCCTTTGAGTTTTTGTGCTGTCTATTTCCATTAGTGGGTAATGTAGAGAGAGAAAGCAAAGAGGATGCTTTTCGATTTGGTTAACGTGGGAAAGTTGAGTAAGAAAGAGACGGTTCTTTCTCTCTTTTGTTCTGCTTTGAAACCTCCCAACCCAAGTGCCAATAACCCATCTACATAAATAAATACACAGTTCAGAGTCATACTTGTACACCCAAGATAATTGTAAAGTTGTTTCCTTTTTTTTACTATAAGTTCTTTTTAAGTCAAAATTAATTTAGATTAAACACTTGTATTCATATCCATTTCTTCTTTTAATTAAAAACATCAATCTTCAATTTCCAATTAATTCTAACCAATAAAAAAAGTCAAGTTTTAAATTTACGCAGCCCCGTTTCAAATATTTTTATGCCACGGATAAAGTTGATCTGAAAATGTATTTCATTTTTCAGTCATCTATATGAATCAGAAGCCATAGAAAGCCAAAAACAATACTAAAGAAAAAAGATAAGAAAAGAAAAATGAGAGGCAAGTTGTTAGAAAGAGAAATAGAAGACAAGAGAGAGAAAGAGAGGTATTAAGGTGGGTTAGGATGCTTTCGGCTAAGCTAGCTGAAACTGGCCTCGTCTATGCTGTATTGGGCAGTTAGGGATACAAGATCTTGAAACATCTCCCCTACTACCTTTTTGCAACTCTCTCTCTCTCTGTCTCACAGAGTCGTAGGTTTTTCTTTCTCTCCTTTGAATACTCAAAGTCTAAAAATCTCCTTGTGTCTCTTTATATGTCCATCGTTATATATTTTTATTATTTATTCACTACAACAACTAAAGGAAGAAAATTTCTTTAGCTGCCATGGCCACCACCCTTATTAATTCTACTCTTTCATGTTATTAACACTCTTTTACTCTTTTTCAAGCTTGGGTTTTTCTTCTTCTTCTTTGTTCATTCTTCCTTCAAGGCAAAAATTAAAAGAAAAACAATGTGGGACTTAAATGACTCGCCTGATCAGAGAAGAGATGATGAATCCGAGGGTTGTTCTTCGCAGAAAACCTCTTTAGATGGCGAAGATGATAATAAGGGTAAACGGGTCGGATCTGTTTCTAATTCTAGCTCTTCTGCTGTTGTTATTGAGGATGGATCCGAAGAAGAAGATCATGCTAGTGCTGAGAGAGGAAGAATCAAGAAGCGGACTAGTAAAATATTTGGGTTTTCTGTTCCTCGTGAAGACTACATGGACACTGACGCGCCTGTGACCCGCCAATTTTTTCCGGTTGAGGATCAAGAAATGGGGGCAACGTCTGCTGGCAGCGGTGGAGCTGGGTTTCCCCGCGCTCACTGGGTTGGAGTTAAGTTTTGTCAATCGGAATCATCACTTGCTTCTCCAAAATCTGTTGAGATGTCGCAACCTTTGAAAAAATCCCGTCGAGGTCCCCGGTCAAGAAGCTCTCAGTATCGCGGTGTCACTTATTACCGGAGAACCGGCCGATGGGAGTCTCATATATGGTCAGTGTTTGTTATTCCATATATATATTTGTATCAATATTGTTCTTAAAAATTTTGTTGGTCTATTGAAAGAATTTATTGTTTGTGGCTTGATGCAGGGATTGTGGGAAGCAAGTGTATCTAGGTACGAGACTGGTCTTTTAACATTATAACTACTATATGTTTATTATTATTTCTGGAAAGAAAAAATTAGTTTTCTATGTCATGAATTGTTCAAACATTTCTGATATGGGTGTGATTGGTTTTCTTCTTTTCTTGGATATTCCATTATAGGTGGATTTGACACTGCACATGCAGCTGCTCGGTAACCTCTTGGTCCCTTCTTTTCCTGTAACATTTATTTATTCATTTTGTTTTTCTTTTAGTTGTATTATAGAACTTCTATTTAGATTGAAAAATTCTATTTTTTATTATTGTAGTGCATATGATAGGGCAGCTATAAAGTTTAGAGGAGTGGAGGCAGATATAAATTTTAGCATTGAAGATTATGAAGAAGACTTAAAACAGGTAAAGAGGGCCGGGAAAGAGAGAGAGAGAGAGAGAGAGAGAGAGAGAGAATGTATATGAATTATCTTTTCTTCAACAGTGCTTCCTTATCTTCAACAGTTGTTTCTTTGATATGCTTTTTCTTTCTTTATTTATGATGCTATTGAAAAGAAGAAGAAGAAGAAGAAGAAATATAATAATTATCAAATAAAGAAAGAAAATTTACAATGGGTAGATTCTTGTATTTTAACAGATGAGCAACCTTACTAAAGAAGAGTTTGTGCATGTACTTCGCCGACAAAGCACTGGTTTTCCAAGAGGAAGTTCTAAATATAGAGGTGTTACCTTACACAAGTGTGGAAGATGGGAAGCTCGAATGGGCCAATTTTTAGGCAAAAAGTAATCGTTTTATCCATTCTTTTCTTTAATTAATACGTTCATCTTTGTCTCTGTTAATCGATTCTTTTTTCTTGTACATGTATTTTTTTCTGAACAGGTATGTGTATTTAGGCTTGTTTGATACTGAGATTGAAGCTGCAAGGTATCATCTTTTACGAACAAACCAATGAGAAATTAACTAATTGCTATGTTGTAATTGGTTGAGTGTTAATTGATAAATTTTTTTTTTTCTTGGTACTTCCTATATAGAGCTTATGACAAAGCTGCAATTAAGTGCAATGGGAAAGAGGCAGTGACTAATTTCGATCCAAGCATTTATGAAAATGAACTAAACTCTTCTGGTAAGCATGGAAAATGATTAATTTATATACTACTACCTATGGGCTTATATTCATTAATTAATTCTTTTGCTGTTTAGAATCATCAGGAAATGTTGCTGCAGATCACAATCTTGATCTGAGTTTAGGCAATTCCGCTGGAATGGATCAACATTCTCCATCAATGGATTGGCGAAATCGAGGAATTAGGCCGCCTAAGGTACGTACACTCTTTGAATCAGTCAAATAATTAATAGCTTTATCAAAATTTTTCTTTTTGCTAATCGTATAGGTTCTCTCTTGATGCATAATTACCAGCTTAACTTGCAGAGAAATGGTGAGAATGATGACCGTAGAAGAGAAGGATATTGCGAAACAGAAACAATGCAGCTTCTTAGCCAAACCCATATCCAATCTCCAGCGAATGAACCGCAAAGATTCCAGATGCTTCATGGTTTTTCACCCAGTTATCAAGTGGGTATATATATAGGCAACAATATAAACAAGAACTATACATATATTTTGTTAAAATTATTAAATTGGCGGGGTTGGTGCATTATTTTCGTAGATTCAGTTTCCAAGCAGCAGCAATGGAGGCCGAATTGAGAGTGGTCTATCACTATGTTCAAGTGATAATCAACAGCATCAGCAACAGCAACAGTTACCACGACAATGGCAATCGGGCTCCCCAGCTAGTAGTTATTCGCAGCATCATCAGTTGGTTGCTAGTGCTGCAGCATCATCAGGATTCCCGCAACAAATTAGGACTCCACAAAACTGGCTGCAGAAGAATGGGTTCCACTCTTTATTGAGACCCTCTTGACCCATATAATGAAGTAGCCATCATTTCCATCTCACAAACCAATATCTTCCTCCTCCTAATTGTTCTCCTATGCATATGTAAAGAACAATGACATTTTCCCAACCATCCCAGATCAACCCAAGATTATTACCAATAGGGAAAAAAGAAAAAAAATAATAAAAGAAAGATATATATAGAGTGAAAGAAATTCCAATTTTCAAGTTTCTGGGAAATGTTGGCAACCACTGTAACTAACCAATGGACAAAAAGTCTTCTAACTAAGTTTATTCATTTCGAGTTTCTGACTAAACTTGCTTTCTATCTTTGTATTATTGATGTTTGATATTTGATGTTAAGTTCAAAATTTCTCATATTTTGTGTTTCTAAGGTTAACATATATAGTATTGTATGGAGTCATCAGATGCATATATATAATATAATATTATGATGGAGGGGGTAAGGTAAGTCCATATTTGGTTGAGAAATACTAAAATGTTGTCCTAAAGATAGAGTCAGAGTGATGGGATTTTTTGGCGTTTGCTTTTAGGTGTTTCTTCAGTGAGATGAGAGGTTGTGGACTAACTCTATGGGGGTGATTCCTTAGTTCCCTAATCGAGTAATAACAGGCGTGACATATGAACAACACCTTTTTCTTTTTTTCTTTTCTTTTTATTTTTTAAATGTAAAACAGAAATGAAGAAGAAGAAGAAGAATACAAAGAAAGCTGCAGTGAAGACAGAGAGAAGGGTAAACTTTAAAATTATATTTTTTGGAGAAAGAAATAAAAATGAAAAATGGGAATTGGGTCTTGGCAATATCACCCCGGATGGTGATGAATAGTCACTATCTATGGTGTCCTTTGAATCAGTTCTCTTGGCCTAAAGCAGTCAGACATGGCTATTATTATGAGAACGACTTGTCATATTAACCCAAAGCAAAGGACACACCCATACATATAATAATATAATATATATTTTTGCATATGGGTAAGACAAAGGCAAAGGGTTTAACCTAGTTAGTTTTTACGAGGAAAAATGACTTTATAAACCCTCATCCAATCTCCTGTAAGACGTTGATAAAGTGGTAAGAAATCTCATTCAACGTATTGATAATAATAATAATATAAATTCGATAGTTGATTTCAATTTGTATAAGAACGAGAATATAAATTCAATTTTTAGAAAACACGTTTGATTGAAAGTTTAAAATCTGCTTTATAGTCTGAGGAAGATATTTAAAAAAAAAAAAAAAAAAAAAAACATGAATCATATAATAATAATAATATATATGTTTTGGCATATGGGTAGAGACAAAGGCCAAAAGGGTTTAACTCTAGTTAGTTTTTACGAGGAAATGACCTTATAAACCCTCATCCAAATCTCATGTAAGACGGTTGAATAAAGTGGTAAAGAAATCTCATTCAACGTATTGATAATAAGTTAATAATATTAAAATTCGATAGTTGATTTCAATTTGTTAATAAGAACGAGAATAGTAGAATTCAATTTTTAGAAAACACGTCCTGATTGAAGTTTAAAATCCTGCTTTTATTAGTCTGAGGAGATATTTAAAATAAAAAAAAAAAGAAAACCTTAATTAACCCTTATTTGCTTCCTTAATGCCTTTTTTTTTTTTAATTTTTCCCCTTAATGAATACAATTAACACGTATATTTTTGTGATTTGTTGGGTTTTCAAAAAAAAAAAAAAAAAAAAGAAAACCTTATTACCCTTATTTGCTTCCTTATGGCCTTTTTTTTTTAATTTTACCCCTTAATGAATAAATATATATATATTTTGTGATTTGGGTTTCAACATAGTTTAAACATGCCAGAAGTAAATGTACGAGGAAATGGTGTCGAGGCTTCAACATGGGGTACACGAAAATATCACATTCACAATCTAATCAGTCTTTTATTAGTCTAATGTTTTGGATTATTGTTAATTAATTAATTATTAATAAATATAATAATGGAGTAGCTCAGTGCATAAATAAATATTATTATTATTCATATTAAATAATACAAGTGAATTTTACGTCATGTAGGTCGTCACATCACATATTTTTTAACGAGTAATTAGGACACTGCTTATTATTTTTTAATGAGCAATTAAATACTTTCTAATATTTTATAGTTAGTCGACACGTCTACTATGTCGTTACCACGTGAATTCCATTTATACTTTATTAATTTTATTTTATTTGCTAAAAAATGAAGGTTCAAGAGCTCAACACGCAAGTCAAAATCCTTCCTTTATTTTTATTATAATTTAATTAATAATTCCATTTTTATATAAGCATAATAATGCTTAATTGATACTATCATATTATTATATTTCCAATAAATTTGTGCTTTTTTTAAAAATTTCGAAATATAAAAAAATGAAATAAAAAAGAATCAAAGGCAAAGAGTTCCATTACCGTAAGAGGAAAGAAATCCAGAAATGAGGGGAACAAATTAAAGCGAGAGTGTCCTGTAGCAGTTTAAAGAGAGTCTTCTTAGATCCTTTATTTTGCATCGGATCTACGAAACACTGCCATATCCTCTCAACCAGACACATTCATCATCATCACCATCATCTCTCTCTCTCTCTCATATTTATTTACTACTATTTTATTTACCATTAAAGAAGCTATTTAACTGTTGGTAATTAATTATAAAGAATTGGGAAAATTACATTCAGTTTCCTAAAATGGAATAAATGTGAAATGTTTAGCTGTCTTTTTTTTTTTTTTAAATAAAGAATGTCAACTCAACAAAATTCTAAATTATTAATATTTTTATTTTTATTTCTCTTGTTAAAGCTGTGCTTTTGATTCCAATACTGATAGACCGTAATTGAGTGTGACTGCCACTGCGACTGGGACTTGACTGTAGCCCTTGCGAGTTTGTCTGGATAACTACAAAAGCTTTGTTTTTTATTATTATAATTATTTTGAAAATACAATTAATTATTTTGAACAAATTACCGTCTTTAATTATTTATATATAGAGAAAAGTAAAAATATTATTAATGTGTTGAAGTGTTAGATCGCTTTCAGCATTGAGTGAGATTAAAAATAGATGAGAGTGTGAAACACAGATGAGGCTTCTTGTTGTGGCTTCTCTCTCATGAACTTTCCTTTTATGGCATTCTTTTGGATTTTTTTATAAATGGTTTACACATTTTCTTTTTCTTTATTACTTCTGTGACAACCTTCTTTTGCACGGCTGCAATTAATTAAATCTAAAGGGCTGTTGCTTCCACACTCATCACTCTTCACCATCAACCTTCTGCACTGCTTGCTTTGCTATCTTCGTGCATCCCACGCTCCATTCTCATACGTTTAACTCTACAGCTTTATTTCTTAATTTAATATTTTTCTTTTACTCAACCAAAAAACTCGAATTTAAGCTTTTGATATGAAACTTATCGGGAGTTCCGGATTTATATAACACAGTATGTGCTTTAGTTTTAGTCACGTGACGTTATATTAGTGTACAATCTAACACAAAACGGGATGATGATAATGTCATTATGAGACAATTCAATAAATCTATGAACCTGCACTAACATTTGTTTCAGTACATAGAAATAATTTCATTCAACAAACATTATAACAAAACAAATGATTTTGTGCCCAAAGGTCCCTTTTGTTTGGTCCATTCAAGGACAATGCAGACAACAAAATCTTTGCCATGGTTATTTCATGCCCAACGCTCTCAAAACATTATTTTTGAAAACAAAAATCCTCTGTCTAACCCATTTATTGATAATGTTATCCCACCATTCGTTCATTCGATATAAGTTTTTTTTTTCAAAATATAAGATTTAGCGATCCTTCTTCCTTAGAACCTAAACAAATGGTTAAAGGGAAGAGAATCTATAAAGAACTTTTTTTTTTTTTTTGATTTAAAAGAGAACGGATAGTTATAATTAATATTTATCGAGTAATCACCTAATTCAGCTCAGGGTTTAGTCACAATTAACGCCATTCGCCTTTTTTTGTAAGTGCATTTAATATGATTAAACCTGATAGCTCTTTCCACACGTTCAGCCTACACTACCAATTGAGCCGCAATCCATAGGTGATTTTTTTTTTTCATTTTACTCTATCTATAAATAGATTGGTGAATTTCACAATTAAAAAGAAAAGAAAAAAAAAGTGACATGTAGATTGGTGCAAGATAGATAAATTGCAAAGAAAATGAGATGGGAAGGAGGACCACATGCAAGTATGAGGAAGCTCTTTTGAATGCAGCACCTAGAAATGGAAAGTGGGTTTGTGGTCCCCTTCATAAAATCCATGGCGCCCAAATAAATAAAAAAAGAAATTACTTTATCTTTTATCATAATAATAATAATAATAATAATAATCTATTTAACATTATTATTTTAATAAATATGTGCTAGTGTTTTTCGAAGGGATAAATAAATGTTTGTAATGATTTTCAAACCGACAATAAGTTTTATCAAAGTTTACTTTATATAAAAAATTTTACCTTAAATAGAACTCTTTATAAACTTAGATGCAACAATACATAAATGGCCATATTACATGGATCAAATCCATGTAAAAAGACATGGTAAAAATGCCCAAAAAGATCAAACAAAGAAAATACATGAGATTAACTAATCAACCACTCATTATTATTTGGATATTACTCTATTCTAAATATGAAAATATGCATATAAATTATTTGGAAAACAAAACTTAATATTTAATATGTAAAATTCGATTTTTCGCAATTACAAAATATAATAATAACTTTTATTTTGATTTTTTGGTCGTCCTTATTTATCTTTTCAAAATTTACATGGAAGAATATAGAAGATAAATAATAATATAAATAGATGGGTATCTATCTTTTTGTAGAAATGATATTTTAGATATTTAAATTTAAAGCTGGTTGTAAAGAAGACTTTCCAAGTTTGGAAAGATTGCAACGATAAAATAAAATAGATTTCAAAAGTGGGCACGACAAACCAATCATCTCCAGCCATTCGTTCCCTTTTAGGTGGCATAAAATAATTGTGGAAAGCTAGTGGGTCTTCTTGTGCATTGTGCTTTGGGTATTTGGGTTTAGGGTTTGTTATTGTATTATATGCTCCTACTTGTTTTTGTTTCATTACAAGTACACTTTCTTTTACATTGCAATTTGCCCTTTTTGCGAGCTTAGTCTAAATTAGGTTTATGAGGAATATTATTATTAATAAAGTTTTGTGGATCTCAAGTAATTAATTAGTAATTATTAATTTGGAAGGGCTATGGTTTTGTAACTTTGCCTAATTTTCACCTTCTAGCTATATTAAATTTCTATTTGTTTTTTTTATTCCATATATATATATATATATATTATATATATATATATTATATATATTATCTTGTTATTATATATATATATATATTAAAATCTGTTTTGACAAATTAATTCTTTTTCGCAATTTGGTGGGCACTAATTTTCCATCATATTATATAAAGATTAGCGATCCATAATTAAGTAATTGAAATTTCGTATTCATAATGTGCATACTTTCTATATATGTTTTTTGTATTTCTTTCGAGTTTAATCCTTGTTATATAATTTAGCATGAAGAATATAATATTATCTTGTAAAAAATTAATTCTTTTTCCAATTTGGTGGCACTATTTTCCATCATATTATATAAAGATTAGCATCCATAATTAAAAGTAATTGAAATTTCGTATTCATAATGTGCATAAGCTTTCTATATAGTTTTTGTATTTCTTTCGAGTTTAATCTTGTATTATTTAGCATGAAAGAAATATTAATTGATAAACTCTTTTATACCTTAAGCAATTAACATTAATTGGATAATTAATATTAATTGGTAATCTTTTCCATCTTCCTCTACTAATGAAAGATAATTATATATATAGTATTAGAGGTGTTTCCTTCATTACTCAAATGTTGAATTTTGTTAATGCTAATTTATTACTTGAAAAGAGAATTGTATAATTAGTGACCTTACCAAAATTCTAGATAGCACCAAGAAATAATTGGAGGAAGAGGAAGGTTGTTACATCACTCAACAACAAATGACCATTTATCATAGTGGTTGTCAAAATTGCTTAGTCCTATGTGGGAAAAAGAAAACTTCTATTTGTAACAAGTAATAGAGGGTTACGTAGTTTCCTCTTTTGGGAAAGATGACTTTGTCCTGAATTTTTTTTTTTCCTACTTGAAAAAAAAAAAAGATAGATATATTTCTTTATTTTTTTTAGAAAAACTAAAGAAAAGGTGAGTGTCTCATCATGCAATAATCTTTAGTGGCAAGGACCTATCAAAACAGTGGAAACCACCACCAACTTTGCTATATTAAGCAAATGAATCGAGGACCAACGTATTTAAGGGTTTATACTAATTTGAGTACTGTGATTGACTTGTTTTTCCTATTTGAAAGAAGTTTGGTTTTTGACGCAATTTCTCTCCATCCAATTTCTGATTTTGGATTATATTTTTTCCAATTAGGTTAAGCTAAGCTTAGGGTTTGGGTTTTTTTTATACAATATTTTGTCAATCTTCATGCTTTATTGGTTATTTGGATTATGATATCCTCTCTTATTCTTTATCATGCTTGTTCCTCTATTTTTGTACCTTTTGACGACCCAGGAAATGGGTTTTCAAGTTACAGTTTAACTGTCCCTTTTTGCTTTAACTAGAATTTTGGGAATTTTTTTTTTTTTGTAACTGTTTATCCATGGGTTCTTCCTTCCTTTGCATGCCTTAATTTGCTTCTGTCTTTGGGCTTTTGTCGGCCCTAACTACAAAGAAAGTTAGGGCTCCAACAAAGCCGAAAGGAAGTTGAGGAAAAAGTACATCATTTCACCAGATTTAGAGACAAATTGGGTTTAACCTAAAAATTCAAGGAAATGATAGATTAAGTTTTTCACAAAAAGGACGAAATGACAGTTTAACAAAATCACCTTCATAGCATATTTTACAACCAAGAAATTGCTAAGTTGTGATAAACGGAAATATGCTCATCTTTCTAAGACAAAAGTATGGTTGTGTAGCCGAAAGTAATTTGGATGGCATACTCACAAAGCATCAGCATTTTGCTGAAAGTTATCTTCAAGTACAGGAGCTATTGGTAGTATCGAATTTATCAATGTGTTGAAGATGCTCCGAAAACAAAAATTGGTCTCTCTTTTCCTTGGTGCCAATTTACACCCATTTTCCCGAGAAAGAAATACATATATAGAGAAAACAAGCACCATTTCTATGTAGCTTCTCATGGTTGGGTGGGGGTCTGGCCACTAGCTTTAAATCTTGAGATAAATCGTGGTGGGATGTGAATCCCAAGCAATAGTAATTGAGCTTCAAGAGAGATGAAGTCCTCATTAGTCAGTTGCTAGGAGAAGTTCAGCAAGCCATCATGTAACCTACAGGGTGAAGAAGTAAATTGATCAATAATAAGCACAAAAATAAGAGTTGAATTCTCTTATTCTCACGGTAAACATTGTCACATTGTGCAGAGTAAGGCAACATTTGTGCTCTTATATGAATGAAAAAAAGAGGTCAATTGGAAAAATGCCAATACTGTAAATTGGTAGAAACTTTTTACATTAGATTTTTATAGATTTCCTACTAATTTCATTCTTTTACTCATGTCAAAGTGTGATGACCAAAAAAAAAAAGTTCATGCAAATATAAATAAAACCATGAAACTACAGAACTCGGCACTTCCAAATAAGCTCCCTCCATCCAAATCAAAGACTTGGTGTCAGTGAAAGACAAAGGGTGACATGCGGAATTGCGGATTATAGCAGAAAATATGACAGGCATACTAACTTGTGATTAAAAAAAAAAAAAAATCTCCTGCAAGTGAAGACAAAGACGTAAACATCTAATTCAATGAATTATGAAGTCATAAAAAATGTACAAACCAATGCTGCCACTCACATCAAAGTCAAGTTCATATACAAAGTGCACCAACGTCAGGCAGCCCATCCTCTGGTTCACAGAGCGACTCTGATTCAGGACGTCCTCCTTTCTTGCCTTGCTTCCTTTCTTTTCTACCTTTTCTTGAGTCCAGAGATTGTTCACTGACACAGCAAAATCGCATACATCAGATAACAAAGAGATTTTTCTTCTTTGGTTCTTTTAAGAGAACTGGGGACCAAGTAAACTTTTCTAATAACTCAATGGAAAACCAATTGTAGGAAAAAAAAAATGGTAATAGCAAAATACAAATGGATCTTAGAAATAACCTCTGGAAGAATACTATTTCTGAGTCTGAGTAACATTATGATTAACAGAACTTCTTTAACGACCTTTCTTATCTATTTTCTATTTCTAAAAAATGTTTCCACACTGATTAAAGCAAGTAATACCCCAATAACAAACAAAATGGCAACTTCAAAACTAAAAGACTAGCTTAAACAGAATCGTGGAGAGAGGATCAGGAATTTGAGAAGCATACACCGTAGACTTTGCAGAAGGTGCCCGATTGACAGCTCCACAACAAGACTTATATTTCTTTTTAGATCCACATGGACAGCTCTTATTTCTAGGTATCTTCTGCAATTACACAAAATAAAAATTAAGAATGAAGTAAATGAAAAAGATGAAATTGAAACCAATTCTGTCTTAAGGAGATAAGAGATTGTGCAAGAAAGGTTTTTGATCAATAAAAGAAAAACCTTGTCATCTGCCTGGGAACTGGTACTGTTACGGGCTTGTTTGAATCTATTCTTAGATGGTTCATGTTTCTGGGTCTCCTTGAGAGGCTCTTCCGTTTGTTGCTCACAGTTTCTATCTTCACCATCACCTCGACATTCTTAGGAATTGTGACAATCAGTAAGGAAATGTATCAAGCAATCACCTCAGGTATTTTTCATGGAAAGCAAGATCAAAACGCAATCCTGACAAATGCCAACTAAACATGAAATGCAACTATTTCATGAAATTGTAAGTGTCTCATCTATCTTGAAGCAAGAAGTGTTGAGCTGGAGTGTTCTTAACATCCACACATGCGAAAGATACCATAGAACAAAAATTTTCATCCACATTCTTGGTTTGAATACCATTTCACACAGGCATGTACAAGCACACACTATATACCAATTAAGAAAATGCCACTCAGTGAATAGGAAAAATCCCAAGGAAAAAGTGTCAAACCATTAATGAAGCATCGAAATTGTCTCATTTAACAACTGCCTGAACTTTCTAGAACATCAATTCAGCCAAAACAAGAAGGGGGAGGGAAAGAGGAGGTGAAGGACAGAGAGGGTGAGGGTGGGAGAATATGCTGTCAAGTAGAACATAAATCGGCAAATTGACCCTTCCAAATCCTTGCCAGAATCAATTACTCAAACAAGAATTATTTTGTGAGCAACTCATCACGAAATTCCTAGTGTCTTTTTCAATTGATGTTAAGGTATTCAAAGCCTGGTCTTTCACCAATTTGTATACCTATTAAACACTTCAGGAAATGCTTTCACAATCAGCCTCTATCAATAAACAAAACAACACTTGAAAAATCTAAGAGCTTTATCGTCCAAAAAGGTTTCTGACTGATGTTTGATGTTAAATGGGCTGATGAAATGCCAAGAAATAATGGAAACAACGTAAAATTATTTAACTTGTGTTAAAATTACTGACCAGACATTACCATAAGAAGTGTCTACATGACATGGAAGGGAATCATTTTCAGCTAAGTAGTAACCTGCATCTCGTTCTGCTCCTAGAAACTCTATGGCAGCATCAACATCACCATCTACTTGTAGTAAAACCTAGTATGAGATCCACATAAGGCAGAAAATAATCCAAGTGTCTTAAAGATTGGAGCATATCCCATATACTGGCAAACTACAATTTTCAGGCATTGTTGATAAAAACCATAATTCTGAGGGATGGAGGAAAGCACAAGAAGAGAAATTTTGCAAACTATTTCTCACCTGTTCGACTTTTTCAACATTTTCACAACCACTTCCTGCCATTACCAATTTGACGGATCCTGTATTAATAGTATCCTTAGCAGGCCCCACTTTAGACTTGCTGGCTGCGGCTTTTGCTTTATGAGAAGTTGCTGAAAGTTCAGCATCAGCCTTTCACAAACTGGAAGTTATCAGGCTATTGCCACCAATTACATGTTGAAACTCAAAAGTAAACAAACAACAATTGGATAAAAGAAGACATAATTGGAAAAGGAAAATCTATAGAAAACCTTGATTATAATCGGCCTAGCTGGCCCATCACAAGGGTCTTCCTTTGACCGCACACTGTTGTAATGTTCCTCATCATGATAAGATCTGAGAAAACATTAGCAAATCAAACAGCAGAATCTGGCACGCTTGTTACAAACTGAAAGATCTTTGTGCTTATAAATGTCATCCCTAAACGTGATAAAACAAAACAAGGAATTATCCTAACTGTTTGCAATTGCCATTGAATTACTTAATCTTCCATTCGATACATCAAGGCAATCATATGAATTCTTCATTTCAAAATGCAGATATCATGCAACTATTTCAGTGTTTCACTGTTCTAGCTAGAAAAAAAAAATGAAAGAACTACTCGATTCTTCTCCAGAATCAGAATACATGTGATCCAAAAAGGATAGTACAGAAACGATAAAGATTCTCATGTACTTACAAATGGACCATACAGGCTCCGTGCTGCTCAAAATTCCGGATGTACCAGCGAGGTGACATGTTCTGTACCAATTAATGACCATTAGAAAATTCTATGTTTAGTGCATGTAATAAACATATAAAAACTTCAATCAAACTTTGGACAAGCAATGTGTTGCACTCCGCTATTTGCATACTTTATACTAACAGATATAGCCAGAAAAGCAACATGTTGGTGTATACATACAAATGCATGTAAAGCATATTATATTGGTTTTCCAGCAGGTGGAATTGTGTTTCACATTTCTTAAATTAAAATTACAAAGTAAGCTCTAGCATTTCCTTGTTCCCTCCGAGCTTGTAGCGTATTGTATATTTTATAAGCCAGACGAACTGCTAGTTTCTATGCCTCGACTTCAAAATCAATCTAAAATCTCTTCAAAAGGATTCATGATCCTATTAAAAACCAAAGGCAGCTTTGGCATTGTTCAGCCAACATATTATATAGGTTTCCACTTTCCAATCAATTTGACATTACCATTCAAAATTATCCTGTAGGGTGATTAACTAGTGGAAATGGCCAGAGAAAGAGGAAAGGGAACATCTTCCATATGAAAAGAAGTATACAAATGCTAGCATAATATAAGTCTGATTACCTGGTGAATACATATATTACTACGCGTAACAAGAGAAGCCGCCTGCAATTCCATATGTCCAGCCCATGTACCATCCTTTTCCATGGATTTGCAGTATTCATCAAATGGGACATCATCCTCAATAAAGGGCTCAAACATTTCACGGTTCTTCTGTTAAATTACAGACCTAAATCAGATTTATTTGCAGATTGGTAATATATTCACACACACAGAGAGAGAAGCAAATATCCAGCCAATTGCTTTTAAACAAGTGAACAGCTGAATTATAACTTAAAGAGAGATTTCACTCTAATAGGCAACAAGAAAGTAAGATACTTGACATACTGGGGAAAAAAGTGAAAGATTTTTTCAGTTCAATTACATATATTTTCTTTTCTCAATAACTATTTACCATAATATATTGTACCGCCATTCTACGATACTTTCCATGTTCCTCCTCACTACCTTCCAACTGATCTGCAAGTGCCCTGTAAACTAATAAGAGTAAACAAATTAATAGCATTAAAGCACATCTGCAAAATATGATACTAACCTTTTCTTAGGTGGTTGCAATTCATTTCCATATTAAAAGGAAAACAACGAGTAAGAAAAAAGAATTGGAAAAGTTTGAATATGCTTTTGCCTTTATTTATTGCAATTGCCTAACACTATATCAGATAGATAAAATACACAATGTGAGGAATGAACAAAGCTCAAGTCATCTATAAGCACAGACCTGAAGAAACAATTACCATCCGCAGTCACTTGGATAATTTTTAGGCCCAATGCATCAAGCTGAGCACGGAACTGAGTGATATCAGTCTGTTTTCCCCGTTTTTTCACCTGCATTCCAAACAATTTTCAGTAAATTACTTGTTGCGCAATCTGTGAAGCAACCATTTAATTTAAGCAGTAGCTTAAGATAAGTCATTTGAAGCACAGCAATATTAAACCATATAGGTAAATAGATTCAAATTCATCATTCATCAAGCTCAGGTCAAGTCAGCAGCTTAATAGCTCATGCATGTGACTTCAATAGTTTCTCAGCAAGCCCTCATGTGACTTCAATACTTTCTCAGCAAGCCCTTAATGTCCTCCTAAGTACCCACTTAAAGTGTTCCCATTTTGTCATCTAATGGATATGCCATAGACCATGTTAAATTTGTGCAAAAACATGTTTAGAACAATAATATCAAATGTGTATCATTAACCTAGATCAAAATTCTCATTTTTACTAAAATAAAGGCTGCTATAAACTTGATGGCTCAAGTCACCTCCCCGAGACAAAATGAGGCTAGCTCATTCACAGAGAACTTCTGTTGGCACCTATCATCCAGTCAAGATATCCCAGTTTAATATAAGCAAAACACATCAACCATACAAGCAACATGCAAAATACTGCAGGCAGCATTCTCTATCCTTCTTTCCTCAAGGCTAATGGAGAAAAGGTTAAATGCCTGCTGTGCAACTTGCATGCCCTCACACTTGTTAAGCACATGCATGTTAGGGATATTCTTTCAATCAGTTATTTTAATCAATTATTGAGAAGCAAATGAACTAAAATTTAAAAAAAAAAAAAAAAAAAAAATTCTTTCAATCAGTTATTTTTAATCAATTATTGAGAACAAATGAACTAAAATTTAAAAAAAAAAAATTTAAAAAAAAAAAAAAAAAAAAATCAGCAAGCAAAAGGCAAAACTAGAACCGAATATTACTAATAAATGAATCATGAAGTAGTCAATATTTTAGTATTCTAAAAGGGATATAATTTCCCTTCTATTTCTATTGATGCTTGCCTTAGAATCTTCAGTATTGGACATCAACACGAAACCATACATAGTTTAATAAAGCACTCGGACGATAATTTGGTATTTAAAAACTGATTTTTGATGTTGTAGATTTTACCGATTTCTTCTTCTACAAATTAGTTTCTTTTTAAATCAGGTCGCATTCTTTGGTTCTCTCTCCCATCCCTTTACTAAAGGCCTAAGTCCTTAAAGATTGTATGTATACATATAGAAACAGATTATTAAGTATTTTTCAATGTCTCAACTACCTCATTACTTCAATCACAAAACATTCTTTCTTTCAGCATCTCAACTACTACATTATCTTAAACCACACAAAACTTAGAAACGGTCTCAATACAAAGACAAATAACACACAAACCACATTTGGATCATGAAACAAAACCTAATCAAAACATATTAGAAGCAGCCTTAAATTGGTACATTGCTTTTGATTACACTCTTAACAAAAAATTCCGGGAAAACTACATACTTACTTCATATAGTTTAAAAGAACATGGAATAGCTTCACATAACAACATTAATTAGTTAAAGGGAATTAAGATTATGAACAATAATTAGAATTACAATTAACAAAGCGACGTGAAATTAGAGAAATCTAAACAGTAAGGAGAAGAGTAATTTGTTGGAGAGACTTACGTGGGGGGTTTTCTTAGGTCTGCTAGACTTCTGTTGTTTGGTTTTTACCATTTTTGAGCTTGAAATTGGCTAGTTCTAATGGCGGTTTCTCTGGCTCAGACAGGAGAACGAGAGAGGGAGAAAAGAACTTGGAGATAGTCGTAGAACATTTACTACCAGCCGGTGATACTGTGGTGAGTGCGGCGGCGAGTTGGACCGGTGGCTTTCCTACAAGTTATGAGGCTTGGATCTTCCCTTTTGTGTTTGGATTGACATAGCCCATTGATTCCTCTGGTAAGAAAAAAATGGACTGGATCCTTCATGGTCCATGGCATTGGTGACTAGCCCGCACAAAACAAAACCCAAAAATGAAAGAACATTGATAAAGGTCAATTTTTTAATTAAAAAAACAACTTATTTTCAAAAACAATTTAGAAACTTAGGAAAATTTTTTTATTATTAATTATTATCAGAATAAAATAATAAATTTTAATTTCTTTGTACTCTTAAAAAATTAATTTCAACAACAATTCCTCATGGGCCATAATTGCTTCCAAATTTTTAAATTGGAATATTATAACATACTATTTAAAAGTGAAGTTATAATTATAACAAGTTGCAAAATTAAGATAAAAAAAATTACATTAGACCGTATTAAATATTGTGTGTGATGTTATTTATTATCCTTTAATAATTCTTGCATAATAATAAAAAAATTACTCTTTTTTTTTTCTTTTGACTTCAATGGGAGGTAAATGGTTTGGTAACAAGGGGGTGTAAATGAGTCGAGCCAAGTTCAAACCTCTGCTAGGTTCGAAGTCTAGTTTGAGCTCGATTTAAAACTCAACGAGTCTGAAAATTTTGAATTCGAATTTAACTTGAAGTTCGAGTACAACTCAAAAAATTTTTAGCTCGAAGTTTGAGTAAGTCTAAAATAAATATTATATTAAGGTCTAAAATAAATATTTGTATATATATATATATATATATATATATATATTATATATATTATAATATTAAGTTTGATAAAACTTAAACGAGCTTTCGAAAAGTTTGATAAAACTTAACGAGCTTTCGAGCTGAATTTTTTTCGAACCTAACTTAGATAGTTCGCGAGTCGACTCAGCTCATTTATATATATACACCTAATAAAAATTATTATGATGATAGACAAGAGATCAATTCAAAATCTCTTACTCTTTACGTTTTTTTAAGAATATGACAATATCAACTGTATCAAACTTAATTGGTTTGCATCCTCTTTAACTTCACAGCACACTTGAGAGCATATGGCATACCATATTAACTTCAAACCAAACAGGATTGGACATGAAAGGGATGGAAAAGGAGGTGGCAAATACCTTGATGTGAAGGAACAGCAAATTGTGTCTTCTCATTGCTCTTTCCATTTTCTATATGTCAATGTGTGGGGCTGTTCTTTTATTTTCTTTACAATAACCCTTTTCAGAGCTGAGGAGTTGGTGAGAAGTAAATAACACTCAACAACAGTTATTATTATTATTATTATATGTACTTGCCCATGCAAAGTCAAATTTATAGCATCCTATGCAATGCAACCAAAAATACATGTATTTTGCATGTAGCTTTTTTGCTCGTTTTGCTTTGTCATAGGATTTTTTACCATAAAGTAACATTTCATCCTGTATTTTCCGCGATCGCAACTATACTTTTAGCCTTCTGAACTTTGCGAGAGATTCATTATGACCCTGTAATTTTATATTTCATGATCTCTCATAAAATTATTTCATTTTGACGAAAAACGTGATTATTATTGAAATATAAAAATGCACGATTATAATTGAATTCCCGCGAAATTCAAGGGGCCATAAGAAAAATGTACGATCATAATTTAATTTTGTATGTGTTAAAAGAGGTTTTTTTTTAAGTTAATTGTTAAAAGAAATTTTTCAGTATCCGAGAAGTGTACTTTGCTGGGAGTATAAAAAATCTTCACACTTTACGATCCGAGATTGAAATAATGTATAAGATTATAGGAGCACTATACAATATGTTCTTTTTTTTTTTTTTTAATTCATTATAGTCTAATTTGTGCTATGAAACGGGTAGAAATTTTATCAGTATCGCGGGTCGATATAGAAGTGTAAAGCTTTGCTTAGAGGTATAATGTAATGAAAAAAATCTGTCACACCGATTTGGAAGGTGGTGGACTATCCGAGATTGAAATAATGTATACAGATTATAACAGGGCGAAGCACTATACAATATTGTTCTTGTTTTTTTTTTTCTTAAAATTCATTATTTCCCGCTCGATTGATCCAAATAATAAGACTGAGATAATGGTAGCAATATAGCTTCTTTTTGTTTCTTTTTTTTAATTCCGATTATAGTTTCTCATTGGATCCAAAATAACACTGAGAAGCTTGCACAATAAGGGTAACTCTCTCTTTAGCTTAATAAATTTCTGCTCATTAAAACATAGATTATAATGTCTAGAAGATTATAAAACTCAAACTTATCATACCTCTTCGGCATAAAATGACAACATCCACTGTTCATTGGAACACCTTAGCGGGTTTGATCTCGTCGCGCGCTCCTTTTTAGTTCTGTAGCGCTACGGTTGATACGCTGGCAGGAGGCGGTTTCTTATTATTATTATTATATGTACTTGCCCATGCAAAGTCAAATTTATAGCATCCTATGCAATGCAACCAAAAATACATGTATTTTGCATGTAGCTTTTTTGCTCGTTTTGCTTTGTCATAGGATTTTTTACCATAAAGTAACATTTCATCCTGTATTTTCCGCGATCGCAACTATACTTTTAGCCTTCTGAACTTTGCGAGAGATTCATTATGACCCTGTAATTTTATATTTCATGATCTCTCATAAAATTATTTCATTTTGACGAAAAACGTGATTATTATTGAAATATAAAAATGCACGATTATAATTGAATTCCCGCGAAATTCAAGGGGCCATAAGAAAAATGTACGATCATAATTTAATTTTGTATGTGTTAAAAGAGGTTTTTTTTTAAGTTAATTGTTAAAAGAAATTTTTCAGTATCCGAGAAGTGTACTTTGCTGGGAGTATAAAAAATCTTCACACTTTACGATCCGAGATTGAAATAATGTATAAGATTATAGGAGCACTATACAATATGTTCTTTTTTTTTTTTTTTAATTCATTATAGTCTCAATTGATCAAAATAACACTGAGAGCTGCACAATAAGAGTAACTCTCTCTTGGCTTAATAAATTAATAAAAATAATTATAATCTAGAAGATTTAAACTCAAACTTTTCACTCTTCGCATAAATGACAACATCCACTGTTCATCGTTCTCACAATTCTCTTCCCTAGTCCTTTAAAAAAAAAACTAACATTTACACTTAAACTACGTATTGATAACGATAAGGAAATAATTACATTATAAATCATGTATGGATATAAGAGTGAAAATGAATTGAGCCGGCTTACGAGATTGTTCGAGCTTGGTTCAAAAATATTTAAGAAAGTTCAACCTTAGTCGAATTTAAATTCGAGCTTAATGATAGCTTGACTTGGCACGAAAGCTCTCCAAATTTTATGGAACTTATATATAACATATATTTTAGGATTATTCAGAATATCAAATCTTGAACATTCTTCAAGTTAAGTTGGAACTTAAAAATTTTAGGTTAGAATTGAAGTCAAGCTCTAAAATCTTCAAAGTCATCGATGAACTCTCACTCAAGCTAATCGAGCAGAGTATTCAAATTTGTTAAGTTTACATGGACATTTTTGTTAGTGCTTATATGTCCTATAAAACACATTAAACCTATTAATAATATAGTAAAAGATATAGATGATTATATTAAGGAAATATAAAATATTAATTAGTGGGAACAAACAAACAAACAAAAAGTAAGAGTGTATAACAAGAATGCCAGCCGAAAAGAGAGAGATTGCGTTAATTAAATAATTATTAGTGCGTGTAAGTGCTACTTAACAACCGAAGATGCTATAAAATTAAGGGACCACTGATCAACCAAAACCATTCACCATAACTATCGCTATTTTAAGTTAATTAAGCTAAAAATAAAAGTTCAAAGAGATACCTAGAGTAAAGAGAGTACCCACTTTGGATTATTATGAACTAATAAGACCCCATTAATTATATCATCTTATTATATATGATTAAGACAGACCATAACAACATAATAAAGTGTAGCTACTTGTCTTCACAACCACTTTTATTTTTATCAATTTGGTGAATCAAAAAGAGAGCTATTTTTATTATGTAGCTCACAATGTTATTTCGGCTCATAAAAATATTGTTAAACCCATTTTGTGAGTTTTTAAATTTGAGTTTTATATTTTGTATTTGCGCTTGGATTTTATTGGGACCCAATTAATATTGTTTTGGGTTATTAGTTGATTAATTATTTTCTATTAATTAATTAATTAATTAAAAAAAAGAGATAAAGAAGATGTGATCTGCAGTTGTACAAATACTCCTCAAGCGGTTGTTGACAAGTACAGAAAGTGGGGGACCAAGGGAGCCAATGACGGAAATGTGTGTCGGTGGATCTTTTTGGTAACCATCTGTAAAGCTTATAAATGGAGCAATGGAACTCCAACAAAAGAAAACTCAAATTTTCTGACAAATTCAACAATCAATCAAACTCTCCAACGAGTCAGTCAATTTAATCTTTAAAGCCTTGTTCTTATTTTCCTAAACACTGTCTATTTACATTTCCTGTAATTACAAGCTTTCATTTCAATTTAAGCAATTAAAATTCTATTTACATTTCAAGCTTTGAAACTCTCTTTTACAAGTTCCTCTGTCAATTTTATTTTGATAGCACAACTAGTGAAATGCATATTGTGGGTCCAACCCACAACCTACAAGTCAGATCGAACGCACTTTAATTCCTCAGTTGGTATACTTCACACACCTGATATGTCCGCAATTAATTCACAAATCAACTGTCAGCCAGCTGATCGTTGTTTTTTTCTCAAAATAAAATATAACTACTTCGTGGTCTCTTTTTATTTTTCCTCCCTTGTATGTATATTTTTTTTTTCTTTTTTGTACCTTCGTATATATACGAAGGTTTATGGATTGTTTTCAAAAAGATAAAACCACGAAGCACTCCATGGAATTGCTTGAGAAAGGTAATTTGATTTAAGAGTTCTCTCGGTTTTGACATCATATATGGGTTTCAAATGATTATATTATGATTTAGTTATTTTTAAGTTTATTATATGAATTTATGTGTGTATATTATATTTTATGAATGTAAAATACAATTCTAACAACTAATTAAATCATATTATTAATGCAGTAATAAAAAAAAAAGTCGAGCTAAATGGCTCAAGTTGGGTCTAGCATAATTTTTAATCTACCGGATTACAATGTCTAAAATGTCCTCAATACGTTTATGCAACGGATTTTACCCGCAATATATACACGTGGACATTTTAGATATTTCAATCCGCTACAGTGAAAATTATATCGGACCCAAATTAGACTAAATATATTTTCAATAGAAAAAATCCAAGAAAGTTAACCAATCACGCAAATTAAGTGGAGGGGGAAATAACATTCGTATGCATTGCAAAATTAAAATTTTAATTTAGACAATACAAATTTATAATAATGAGATTACCAATAATAGTTATATATGCTTAATTACATGGATTTCGATATACATAACCTTTTAAGAAAGTAAGTTTTTTTAACTTTTAAAATCTTAAATTGTATCCCACTGAAGTGTGGGGATTTGAAAGTCAAAATAAAAGTTTGCTTAATCATTCCAACTTTTGTTGGAAATCAATTATTGTGGCAAGATACAGCAAATAATTTTATTAGACTGAATGTACTTTTTCGATCTAATAAGTTTTTTTTGCATGTTAAAAAAAGAATACATAATGGTCAATCAGATGTGATATAGATATAGTTAGCTTTCTCATTCATGCAAAGAGTGAGAGGTTTTGAGATCAATCTAGTAAGTTATGTGGAAGATTATCTGATATATAGCTTACAGTGTTATTTTTCTCAGAAAAATAATAGAAAAAAAATAATAAAGATTATCATTTTCTTCACTTATTTTTCAGTCTTATGTTTGAATATAAGGAAGGAAAAAATAAATTATAATTCAAAATCTAACCTTTTTCTCCCTTCCAAAGATTTTTAAAAATTTTTCAATATTAAAAAGTAAAAAAAGAAAAAGTACATCAATAATCAACAAGCCAACTAATCTAGTACCTCGTTATAAATATGTGAAATGTAAAGTTCCTCGACCGTGACACGCATACAGAGTCCGGTCTAATCCTGTTCTATTATTCAGGTTGGTATATGATTAAATTTCAAGTTTATTGAATGAATAAAATGAATTGGATAAATTTTTATTAAATTATTTTTACCAAAAAAATAATTATTAATCAAATGAAATTCATTAATCGAAAATTAAATAAATCAAATTGTTGATTTATTACTAATTAAAGTCATAACATGAGACACATTAATTATTACTTACAGGTTAATAAAACAAACAAGTCCAGATTACGAATACCAGATTTTTGTTACTAAGATAGAAGAAAATAGGATGGAACTTCAAGACAATATAAATTGATTTTAATGAAAGAATTATTTCGTCCAAAATTACCTTTAAAAATAAATTATTAAATTTATTTCAATATATTTTTGAAATAAAAAATTCCAAATGATTTTTTGCAATGAATTGGAATTCTCAATCGTGCATGAATAAGTGGTCTTGCAGAAATAAATTTCCGTTTCAGATGGCATAAGGTAAGATGACAAATATTTTTCATATTAAATATTGAACATTAATTTCATTATTTATTGATTTGGAAATGTTTTGTTCTTTTTGACATTTTATTCTATTTGATAGTTTCTAAAAATTATCATACACTTATTTGGATTATAATTATTTTTAAAAAATTTTTTATAATTAAAATTTATATTGTAGAATTTGTCTCATTGAATTCTACCATTCAATCTCAAGATTAATAATACAAAATATGATTAAACTTATTAAATTTACTAATAATTTGTTGAATCAATAAAAGTAAACTACAATCGGATGAATTTTACGTTGAAAATAAAAAATTTAAGACTTGAAAATCAGTATTATTAAGAAATTTTTTTTTTTACCTAAATACACTCCCATGCAAGCGTGGGATCATGTGCCAAAACTCACAAAAAAATTAAGAATTTTTTATTTTCATCTCGAATAATTTTGCTTTTACATTTTTATATTAGATGTGTAAAAATAAAATAAAATGGAATTATAGATAGATATTCCAAAAATTACCTACCAAAAAATTAAGAATCACGGATAGTAAGCAACTGACGAAGACAAAGCTAATGAAAAAGTAACAGAAAAAGACCCGCGCTCTTCCGCTCCGTCTGATCGAAGCAAACGACTTCTTTTGCTATCTTCTAAGTAGCACTACGCGTAGTTCACTGTCTCAGAACGTGACGGAACCGACACATCGCCATTCGTATACTGAAATAAATATTTCCCACTTGCACATTTACACATACACTTTCTCTACTGTGCATTTTCACCTTTTCTCGTTTGCCAAACACAAAAACTCTCTCTTAAGCTCTGTTTATAATCTCCTCTTCTTCCTCGAGAGTCTTTTATTTGTCGGTAGGACCGGAGCATAGCCACATTGTGATGTTAATGTGTCCCTTGTTTGCTTTTGCTTCTCTGCATAGCTTTTGCTCTGTTTCAATTCCAAATTCCGTTTCAGAATTCGGATTTTCTTTGCATTTTGGAGTGGCTTGGCGATTAGTTAATGCATGATCAGATTTTGGTTAGGAATGAGATTATATGTATTCCGGTAAGAGGTGAGAGAGTGTTGTCTTTGAATTCTCATTTTGATGGTGGATTGATGATAGTTTCTTACTTTTTTTTTTTTTTTTTTTTAAAAAATTAAGTGGGATTTTTTATTTCATCTCTGAAATAATTTGTGCTTTTACAATTTTTTATATTAGAGGTGTTCCCGTGATGTAAAATATATCAATATTAAATCGGGAGATATAGATTTTAGGAAATATTATCCATAGAAATTACCGTGTGATACACAAAATAATTATTAAATCACGGATTAGTGAGAAGGACACTGACTGTATATGAACAAAGCTTAATTGGAATAAAGTCAAACCAGAGAAAAATACGAACCTCGCGACTCTTACCGCTCCGTCTGATCGAGAGCAAACCGAACTTCTTTTGCTATCTTCTAAGTAGCAACTATAAACGGCCGTAAGTATCATCTCATTCACCGCTCCGACTTGTCTCAGAACGTGACGGAAACCGACGATCATCTGCCAAATTTTTTGTCGCCAAGAGAGTATAACCAGGTTGAATATAAAAGGTATTCTTCCCACTTTGCACATATATACTTACATTAATGCAGGCTGTGGTCCTCTACTGTGGCATTTTTCAACACTTTGTCACTCGTTTGCACAAGAACGCAATCAAAAAAGTCTCTCTTAAGAGGCTCCAGAGTCTCTTAAAATCAGGATAGAATCATCTGCTCACTTCTTTGCCTGTCGATGAATTGAGTTCTTTTATATTTGTCCAGCGGTAGGACTAACCTAGGAAGCAATGAGCCACTATTAGAGTTAGCCGATGGTTAACGTGCTCGTCCCCTTGTTCTGGCTTTTGATCTTCTCTGCATTTTTTGGGCTTTTGGCTCTGGTTGCAATTCCAAATAATATATAGCACCGATTTCGTGGCGAAAGAATTCGGATTTTTTTACTTTGCATTTTTGGGATGTGGACGTTTGGGCGGATTAGTGTAGATGCACGGATAGGAAATGTCAAAAGACGGGTTGTGGTTAGGAAAGAATAGAGAGAATTATTTATGCAGTATTACCGGTAAGACGATCGAGGTCGAGAGAGTTGTTGTGGCGTGGCTGGAATGTCTTATGAATTCCGCAGATTTTGATGGTGGGTTGCGATGATTGGACGTCTTCGTTACGTTTTTTTTTTTGATTTTTTTTTTGCTTAAAATGAAGGCAAGGAATTTTGGTGAAGTTTCTTACTTTTTTTTTTTTTTTTTTGCTAATGCAGATTTTAAGCTTTTTAAGAAGTATTTTATAGTATTTAAGCTTGTGGAGTAAGTGAAATAATGGACCAGAAGCCATGGCTATGGAGGAAGAAATCCACGGAGAAGATGATTGTTGCAAATGACAAAATAAATCTATCCCCCAAGGGAAATCAAGAAGAGGTAAATTCAATTCTAGCAAATTTTTTGGAATTCAGTTTGTCTGATTTCTGTTCCATTAATTGGCTATTTGAGTTGTTCTAATTATGGCTCTTGAAGTCCAATGCTTGCTTTTGGGAATGTATTTTTCAGTGAATTTCGCCATTCATTTTGTAGCTGCAGAGTTTACTGAATTATTTTTTGAAAACCTTATTTGCTCTGCAAGTATCCTCTAAATTGGATCTTCTTTTCAGTTTATATGATGATTTGAAAGTCAGCTATTGACTATTGAGACTATGGCTTTACCTTATTTGTAGTAGGAAATTCTTTTGATTAGATATTCTAGTTTAAGTGATGGCCTTGACCATTATTACTGGATTGTAGATGCCTTTTCCTGAAGTCTATTTTACTATGAAATTCTCTGTGCATCATGTTGATGCTTAACTTTAAATTCCTTCGTTATGCTTTAACATCTATCCTTAACAGTATTCTGGGACTATGAGGGAACAGTTCATAATGTGTGTTCTATTTCGTTTTTCGTTAACAAATTCATTCTACAAGATCTAGTAATGGGCCAAATTTTTTATAGATAGAATTTTCAAATATTTAACTGTTTCTCAAGATTGAAAATTTTCAATTCACAAAGCAAAGTTCTAAATCAGAGCCTTTTTTTTTTTTTTTTTTTTCGAGCTGTTAAACGGCGGAAATCTCATTCTAGAGCCAGAGAATTCTAGTGAAATGTGATGCTTCCTTATGGAGGGGAAGACAAAATTTTTTTATAATAGATTAGAAAATATAATTCAAAAAATATTTAAAATGCTGTTTTCGAGAGGGATTGAAAATATTTCAAATTCACAAAAAAGACAATATGTTTCATTAGACATCAGGGGTGAGAGAGCCCACTTGGCTTTCTTTTTTGTGGTGTGGACAATAAGAAGAGAGTGAGAGAGAGAAGGATGGTGGCCCGTGCGCCGTCGGAGGTTACACTTGTGGGGGGGCTAGGCGAGAGATGTGAGGTTATAATAGAGGGCAGGATTCCTGGCACATACGTTTCTGGACTTCAGGTTTGGTCAAAGGAAGTGCATGTCTTGTATGAAGGATGGGAAACAAGAGCACAACACGTGTTGCTAAGAAGGTATGTGGTGTAGAGAGGGTGATATAGCATGATGGGTTTGCGTGAAGGCTGGTGGGGTAGTTGAAAAATACACTCAACCACCAATAAGAAATACCCCTCAAGTCCTTCCCCCTACCAAGGAAGAATGTATTGGAATTGTCTAAAATATTCCCTAACAGTTTGTGAACAAGAGGACTTGGCGCCTCACACGCTCAATAAAAGGCTTATAAGATATTATTATGTATTTTCTCATTTGTGGTTAAGACTTTTTGAGTTCATTGGTCCAACCATCAATATCAAGTTTTGTAATGAGTTGGGAGAAACTGTATTACACCTAAAAGAGGACAAAATAGCTGATTGGATACGTCTAGAATAGTATTCCTAGCAGAACGGAAGCCCCCAGTTGTCAAGAATTGTGTGGAACTCAATGGTTTATGTGCATTGGAATTACAATTATTTGGTTAATAGCATAACAGAAATTGGTGGTTTTTTCGTGTGTATCATTAAGCACCAAACACTTCGACTGAGCTGATAGGAGAGAGAAAATGTGGAGGGACTGAGAAAGTATTCCTGCAAAAGTTTAAATGATTATGTAGGACTACTCTTAATGGACCCTCATTTCGTGAGTGTAAGGATGCTGACACAGAGGAAAAGAATTTCTAGCAAATGGAAACAGCAAAGGCATAGCCAAATGGAGAAGAGAGACTACTGGGCGAGGTAATATGTTCGTTACGTGGCCTTTGTATATATTTTTTTCCCCTATTCTCACAAGATACAATGACCGGTTCGTGGGAAGAGAAATTTATGCATTATGCACTAATACCTTTGAGAGTGAAGTAGTAGCAGGAGCTTGTTAGTAATAACATTAAGCAACACAATTGGGGTGTTTTTTATTGCGAAACAAATTTCAAACAATCCTTGTGCAAAAATTATTCGGATTTTATTTTATTTAAAAGCCCTAGGGAGTAGGCAGTGAAGTGATTTTAGAGCAGTGTCTCTAAATACTAAAGGCAAGAGGCTTATGAATGAAAGTCTTACAAGGCAGAGAGAATGGTGCTAGGAGTAAGTAATAGGATTAATGTCTCACTAAGAGTGGATTGGCAGACCACCTCAAGTGGAAGTGTATAGCAAACAGGTTTGGCGTCGCGTTTGTTCGATGGGAGAAGAGGCAAGAGTCAAAGAGGATTCAATGATGTGAGGCTCAGGCCATCAAACGCGTGAATTCCTGGGCAAAAGGTCCCCCAAATCAGTTATTTGTGAAGAGAAGTTGGCAGATAGTTGGGTAAGTGCGGAAAGACTACTGGAGGATAATGTGTGTATATGCTTAGAAGATGAGAGTAGTAAGGAAAAAGCGCCAATGATGACTGTGAAAAGGGCTTGCTAACAATAGGTGTTCGATGACCAATTCAATTCGTGAGAGTAAGGTGGTCTTCTGAATTAGAACAAAGAGGAAAGAGAAGGTTGATTGTGGAAGATTATGGTAATCAGAAGGGACTTTTCAAGTGACAATGGAGGTCACATAGAGATCGATCTACTCTGTAGGAATTTTAAAATGCTCTAGAAGATGACTAGCAGGTAGAGTCACCCAACCATAAGAGAAAAGAAAAAATTATTGCGCTGATAATATGAGCGCTCATGTAAGTTCATCAGAGAAAGATGGAGCCCTTGGAGGAGTTCGCAAATGAGGAGAGTAAGGAAGAAACTCAATTTTGAATTCGTAGAGCCAAGGCTGAAAAGTGCCATCAACATAAAGCCAACAATTAGATGAGTGCAAAAAAAAATGTGCTAGAGAAATGCAAGGGCTAGAATCAGAATGGCCTGGATATAGGACGGGGTTACGTCTGTCTTGTTCGCTAGAGATTTGCCAGGTGCTGTGCTGCCATTGGCAAAGATGAAGAAGGTGAAAGTTGTATTATGAATTCGGGAGGGAAATTTCAATTGAATGTTTTTTTTTTTTTTTTGAAAGGAACAAAAAGAAGAGGGAGGAGAAGGTGGGGTGGGGTGGGAGGTTAAGGCTAGCAGAGATTGAGGTTATATGATTCAGTTGGTTTCTGTCTTTGAGGTGGGACACCTGTTCTAGTTGTTTTGGTGGTGCAGGGTTGGGAAGGGGGATAAAAAACTAACCATGAATCCCCTCTCCTCCTCCAAAGACTTTTGAAAATTCTAAAATTCCCTTACAGTTGTGACAGAGTCTTCCCTCATAAAAGAGCTATAGTTTAATTATGATTTCTCATTTGTTTCAACTTTATTCATGTTCCACCATTCAATATCAAATTTAAAGTTTGAAAACTGTTTCCTAAGGGACAATGCTTGGTCCTTGAAGTATCTCAAACTGAGCAGTTTCAAGATGTGTGACCATGTTTGTGCATTGGAAATCATTTGGTTATCAATAACAAAATTGGTTTTTCGTTTCAGTTACAAACACTTCTGAGTGATAAGGCAGAATTGGAGAAAGACCTGAAAAGTTTAAATGATAAGCTTTCTTCTGCCCTATCTGAGTGTGATGCTAAAGAAGATCTAGCAAAGAAACAAGCAAAGATAGCGGAAGAAGCTATGGCAGGTAATTACTTATTTTTTCCCCTATTCCAATACACCTACGTGGGAAGTTTTGCATTGCTAATTTGTCAGTAGTGGATTTTGTTATATACATTCTACAAATTGTGTTTTTATCAAACAATTTTCACATCCTTCAAATTATTGATTTTTTTTAAAAGCCTGGGAGAAGGCAGAAGTGATAGCAGTGTCTCTAAAGCAAGAGCTAGATGAAGCCTTACAGCAGAGAATTGCTGGAGAAGAAAGATTAAGTCACTTGGATGCAGCCCTCAAGGAGTGTATGCAACAGTTGCGCTTTGTTCGAGAAGAGCAGGAGCAGAGGATTCATGATGCTGTGACGAAGGCATCAGCTGAATTTGAAAAGTCCCAAATAGTTTTGGAAGAGAAGTTGGCAGATAGTAGTAAAAGGCTTGCAAAAATAGGTGTCGAGAACACTCATCTAAGTAAGGCTCTAATGACAAAGGAAAAGTTGATTGAAGATTTGAGTAAACAGAAGGCTCAGATGGAGTTGGATTTTAATGCTCTAATGACTAGGTTAGAGTCCACAGAGAAAGAAAATTCTTCGCTGAAATATGAGGTCCGAGTTCTAGAGAAGGAGCTTGAGATTCGAAATGAGGAGAGAGAATTTAATCGTAGAGCAGCTGATGCATCACATAAGCAACAATTAGAGAGTGCAAAAAAAATTGCTAAGCTAGAATCAGAATGCCAGAGGTTACGTCTGCTTGTTCGCAAGAGATTGCCAGGTCCTGCTGCCTTGGCAAAGATGAAAAGTGAAGTTGATATATTGGGAAGGGATTCAATTGAAATGAGAAGGAGAAGAACAAATTCTAGTCCTACTGGTTTAATCATTGACCTAGAAGTTGAAAACTCCCTTGAAACTCCCAGCAAAAAGGTCAACTTTCTGACTGATCACTTGTATGCCTTAGAAGAAGAAAACGGGACTCTCAGAGAAGCCCTTAATAAAAAAGCAAATGAACTTCAACTTTCAAGAACCATGTACGCTCATACAGCATCTAAGTTATCACAGGTTGAGTCGCATCTTGATGAATTGTCGAAAGTCCAGACAACCTTGGAGCCATCAAGAACTGTTCTTGCTCCGCATGAGCTCTGTCTGACCTCAATGTCTGATGTTGGCAGTGATGATAAGGTTAGTTGTGCTGAATCATGGGCTTCTGCTTTGATTTCAGAACTGGAGCACTTCAAACATGGGAAACAAAGGGGTTCACCTTCAGGTAAAACTGTAGGAGCTTCAGATATAAATCTAATGGATGACTTTGTTGAAATGGAAAGACTAGCTATAGTTTCAGCTGATAAGCAGTCAGGAACTGGTAATGCTAAGGCAACCATTAATGCCTTGGAAACCAGTTTGAATGGGTATTCCTCACAGGTAACTTGTAGAGAGATCATTCCAGTGTTGGATTCGGGCTTGGGGGTATCTAACCAGGAAATTGAGTCCAAGGATTTACTGATTGGTAAAGCTCCCGATTGCATTCAGGATAACCTGAAAGTGCCATTGGAGCAAACCCATACACCTCAAAGAAAACCTGATAGAATACTGGATGATGTTAGAGTAGCTTTGGCTGAATTGAGTAATCGAAACTCCACGGGTTATGGTAATACAAGAGAGAGCCCAAAGCACCTTGATGCATCAGATTCCCCTCATGCTGGTGGAGACATCTCCTTGAACTCTACAGATAAGTCATTACCAGTGGATTCATCTCCTGTAATGAATGATGTTGACATCTTGTTGACAGTTGGGAATGATCAGCAAGTCCACTCAGATTTAGGAAAATCATTACACAAGATCATTGAGCATGTTGAGAGGATTACTTTACCTATTTATGGTACATCAGAGACTTCGTCTGGAAAGAATGGGAATTTCCTCCCATATAAGAATGTAGAAACATCTTCAGGCTACATGGTTCGTGTTTTCCAGTGGAAGACTTCTGAACTTAGTGTTGTATTACAAGAATTCATTCATGCTTGTTATGATCTGTTGAATGGAAACTCTGATGTGAACAGGTTTACCCAAGAATTAAGTTCTGCTTTGGATTGGATAATAAACCACTGCTTTTCCCTTCAAGATGTTTCAAGCATGAGGGATGCAATTCAGAAGCATCTAGATTGGGATGAAACACAAAGTGAAAGTGAAGTAGAAGTTGGAATGATTAGTCAATTTCCAGAAGTGCATAAATTGGGCCTTCCCCAGGAACAGTTCTCATTTTTGCCTAAAGCTGCTGCCTCAAATGAGCATAATAACTGTTCTGAAAAGGATGAATTTCGATCTAATATTAGGGATGAAAATAAAAGGCTCAAAGATGAATTGATTAGCGTAGAATCTATAAAGAAAGAGTTGGAAGCGAGACTTCAGTTAGCTACAGATCAGAGTGAATCATTGATGAATAAACTTCAGGAATCAGAGGAAACCATTGCAAGCTTGCAAAAAGAGCTAGAAACTCTGAAAATGTCAAAAGAAAGTATTGAAAATCGAAGTGAAAATCACAGGTTGATGAAAGAAGATCTTGATACACAGCTTACAGCAGCCAAAGCAGAGTTAAATGAAGCTTGCCACAAGTTTGCTTCCTTGGAAGTGGAGCTGGAGAACAAAAATGGCTGCTGTGAAGAATTGGAGGCCACATGTCTTGAACTGCAGCTCCAACTTGAAAGGTACTCGGAAAAATTGATATTTTCCCTTTTGTCAAGCTATACTTGTATAGACCGTCACCCTTGGGACATCCAATAAAATTGGAATGATACAAGGATGATAGAAGTTATAATTAGTATTTACTAATGACTCCTGCATTGTTAAGTGATCTCATGCATCTGAAAATGTAATTTTCAGCATAACAAAGAAAGAAATCCCTAATCATGAACTCCACCAGGAAGAGACGAAACTTCGAACTGTAAGTTCATATCAATTTACCATGTATACACATTATTTTCTAATGATGATAAATTGAAAGCTGAAAAATGCTTATGCTATTTATTTGATGATTTGTGAAACCTTGTCCTTTATTTTGTTAATCAGAAAAATATTTTTAATATGAAGAGTGTGTATGTCCTCAAATTCCTTAAGATCTATTTTAGAAATAGTTGTCTTTTTTCCTGCCAGAGCAAACTCCATATAGTCACTATATCACTTCCTTTCTTTCCTCTATAGTTCTTTAGAAGATGGAATATGTAATCCCTGCTAGGCTTCCATATCTAAAGTTTCAATTTCATTTCATAGTTCTGGATACAGCATGTAAACATAAAGAGTATGAAATTACTGTCATTAGGGATGACATTGAAGAGTCGTTCACAACCAAGACGATAAAGGTTTGATGTGAGAACTCTTGCTTCATGCAAATATTGAGGTTAGGACTATGGTAACGGACCATCAAATATTACTGAAATGACTAGGAATCCAAGCGGTCACTTTTGTGACTCGTGATCTAGTTCTTCTAAATGGAGTTAAGGAACACTAAAACCCTGTGTTCTCTTTATTTTCATTTATTCGTATCTGGTTTCTTGCAAGTTTTTATTCTTCACAACCTTTAATCTGTGTTACTTAATGCTCACAAGTGGCTAAATTAACAATAAACATGCATCTTCTTGTTGACGCAAGGACTTCTATTGATCTTATAGGATTGGGAGATAACAGCTGCTTCAGAAAAGTTGGCGGAATGCCAAGAGACCATTCTAAACCTAGGGAAGCAGTTAAAGGCATTGGCTGCACCGAGTGAAGCAGTCCTCTTTGACAAGGCCATGTCTAGCTCCAGCGATACAAATGCTGCCTCAGCCACCACCGGGTCAAGCACAGACACAGCCTTGACTGCAGCCAGGAAAAAGTTGATGAATCAAAGGTCCTCCCTTATAGATCAGATGCTAGCAGAGGACAACGCTGAGACAAAGGTCAACGAATCCCTGAAGATCAAAGAAAGGGATGAAAATAGTTCTACCTTTGATTCTAAAGGGGTAATAGAACCTCTGGAAAATATCCTCATCTTGAATGGAACTAAAAGTCAGGATGGTGATGCTGCAGTTAATTCTTTGGCTATTGTTCCTAGCAAGAAACAGGGTGGCAAAAGTTTGTGGAGAAAGTTATTTTGGAGAAAGAAGAAATCCAACAGCAAGAAACCACCCCTTCCATTTGCTCCATGACAGGGTCATCGCGTAGAATAAATGGTTCGAGCGGACGGATTTTTATGATGGTGGTTCTTTCGTAAGCTGGAGACGGAATGCAATAAGGTATGCTTTTTGTTAATATTTTGAGAGCGTTTTTCAAGGTTGGGTATTTCTTCTGTAGATACATCTGTCGACTAGACCAGTTTTTGTTCAATACCAAAAAAAAAAAAAAAAAAAAAAATCTAACTATTAAATTAGATGAGATCAGCAATTATAGATCGCTATGGGCAGAAGAGGACACAACGAGCGCTGAGGTGACATGAGGGTCAAGCAGGTCGAAAATCCCTGAAGATCAATGAAAGGGATGAAAGAAATAGTGTCTAGTGACCATCATTTGATTCTGAGGGGGTAAAGAGTAGATGTAAAACCTCTGGAAAATGATGACCTACATCTTGATATAGGAGCAACTAAAATCAGGATGGGTGATGGCTGCAGTTTAATCGGCCGATGGTCGGTCCGTCGTTACCTGGCTACTTGTTCCTCACTGGAAGCAAGAACCACGGGAGTGGACAAAAAGTTTAGTCTGGAGAGGTTATACGCTTTGAGGAGAAAACGAAGAAATCCTCACAGCAAGAACCCACCCTTCCATTTGCTCCATGGGAAGGGGTCGTGATTTGCGCCACGCGTAGAAATAAGGCCCTGGTAGCGATGGTTATCCGAGGGAGCGGCACCGAGTTTATTATGAATAGGATAGGACCGCGGGTTCTTGTCGTAGCTGGGAGCGGAATTGTCAATAAGGTATCAGGGCTTTTTGTTATATTTGTGTGCGAGATTGAGACCGTTTCAAAGGTTGGGTTAGGGGGTTCAGGACTAGTGCCTGTATTTCTTCTGTACGATACAGCTCGTGTCGACTAGACCAGATATTTCTTTGTTCAAGTACCCAAACCAAAAAAGAACAAAAATAAAAATGAATATGTGTTACCTCTCCTCGTGTAAAATTGCATGACATTGTGGTGATTGCGATTACACTAAGTTTCTTGATTGACGTCAAAGTAAAATGTCCGCATATATTGCTAATGTTATAATGATCCCATACACCCAATTTTTGTTCTTACGCTCTCACAAAGGAGACATACAGTCTCGACCTGTCTAGAAGTGATAGCCGTGTCCAGTTTAGAATCGGCATGAGACTAACCCTTGTTCGGGCATGTAACCAATTTGATACACGATCAGCTTTATATCACCTTTGATGATCCTTGTCGTCCACTCCACTCGGGCAGTACCCACGGCAGAGATGCCCCGGAGAATTCTCTCGACAAGATATGTATGCGACGACGCGTTCGAATTTTTCCGGGCAGAACACTGTGCAGCATATGAGCAATCTCCATAAACATTGAGGCTTGAAAGATCGTTTTTTCAATAGTGCACCTATAGAATCCAATTAAATTTGAGTTTCCTATAATGTCAATTTTGTAAAAGGGAGAATAAAAATGGATTTACACTGTATGCGTAAAGCGAAAATGTGGCACGCATTTTCGTGGTGCGCCTGATACCGAGCGATGGAGGTTGGTGAGCAAAAGCCAAATATTTTGGAGGAAATTGGATGATCTAATATAATCTTAATGCCCGGATAACCAATAAAGATCCCCAGAGGGAGGCTTCACAAATCTCTGTATTGTGTGTAATAAATGTCTGGCTAGGTACACCAATTCTCTATAACGGAAGATCCAAAGACCATCCTTAAATTAATCTAGCGGCGGGCATATTTTAAAGATGGCCGCGGAATTGGGGGCGCCAGAAAGAAAGCCCGCTAATTTGGGCCCCCCCTTCTCTGAATTGAAATAAAAGTTTGAGATGAATTACAATGTGCCCAATATCCTAGATCTATCATCAAGAACAGAGTTCTAAGTCACTAACGCAAAGAAAGGCAGCCTTCTATCCATATGCAAATTACTATAGTATTAATTCTCGAAACATGGAAAAGCTTAAGTGGGTTCTCAGCTATTACTTCAACATGCATCAATTAGTATTTTAGAGCACATTGAAAGCTATATTGTATGTACGAAAGATGGATTGATTTAATGAAATACAATATTAGAAATAAAAAAAAAAAAAAAAAAAAAAATGATTGTGTTCCTCTCTCGTGTAAATTCATGCATTGGTATTATTCACAATTTCTGTTCGTAGTAAACGGATTGCCTTGTGTTATTTACACCCAATTTTGTTTACCTTTCAAGGAACATAGTCTGACTGTCTGATGATGCGTGTCCAGTAGAATCGGTAACCCTTTCGGGCATGTAACCAATTTATAAGGTCGCTTTACGCCTTTGATGATCCTCGTTCATGCAGTAACAGAACATAGAAATGTAAACGTTCTTGAGAACCATTCAATTCATAAAATTTGAACTTTTTTCAATAGTCTTCAAAAATTTGATTTCCTATCAATTTTAAAGGGAAAATGATCTAAAGAAAATGTCACCGCAAACAATATTTGGATTGATCAATAGCCCACCAAAAACAGAGAAGTCAATCTCTGTATTGTATAAATCTGGCAACATCTTGGAGTCCAGCCTCCTTATAGCATGCAGCTATTTGCTCTGATGAGTCATCCCAAGTTCCTTCAACAGAAGCTAAGTCCAACAAAAAAGCAGCTTCATCCAATGCAATCTATATATTTGAAACATGAATATCAACATTACTCTCATCATGTATTTGCTTAAACTATTGATACGCAATTATAATAGACAGATGAACTTCAATTTAAAAACCTGAGCAGGATCCTTCCCCTTATTAAGGTCTTCCTGCCTGCCTTCCTCAGTCACTCTTTCTTTCATATATTCAATTTGCTCATCCTCCCATTCTGCTATTTGAGCAACTTCCTGAATGAGTATAAACGACAGGTTTTTATCCCTTGTTTGGTATAAAATGAATTTGAATTATATAATTTATTTACACAAAGATATAATTTGATCTAATTAATGTTGAATCTAATAAAATTGTAAGTCAATGGGAGCAAAATGAATATTTTTATTCATACTAGGAGCTTGTTTAGTATAAATAGATTCCATAAAATTTTGTTGGAAATCTTTTACAAATCAAATTTTGATATTTGGTATAAATGAAAATTCATTTGGAATTTTACATTTTTAATTCTTGAATCAAATTCTAGAAAATTTATAGAATTAGCGAATGAACTCTTGAACTTAAAAAGGTTACAAGCTACAAGCTAATGAATTCTAAGCACATGCTAGTGAAGCTACATAATTTAAAATAAAATCTATGATTGATCCAAACATGAAATCATTTACAAATGAATGTCTTTAATTAAAATCATTTGTATTTAACGAATGCCATGTGGATTTATTCCAAAAACAATGTAAAAGTGAAAACATGAAATATCAAATAAATTTCACCAAGTTTTTAGGAACTCATTTAATAGTAAACAGTGCCTTAACTAGCAAAAGAAAGACAAAAGTAATGAAATCATCAGAAAGTTCATACCTGGTACCTGCAACCCAGAGTCCACCATGGCGATTTCAGAGCACCCCTAGCAGCATCTTTGGCTTCTAATTTACGTCCAACTCTATAGAACACAGTGATTGATCCTTAGAATGCTGGAGAGGAAACGAAATGAAATAATTTAGAGTAACATGTTGGATAAAGAGAGGAAAAAATCCCACGAACTTCAGCAAAATCTCAGCATTGAATACAAATGGCCGTGCAAACCCTGGAAAATGCTCCTTCTTAGTGTAAAATTCCCCAGTCACCAATGCTGAAACCTTTTAGAGCACATGTATCGACAATTAACAAAGCAAGCTCATAAAGATGTGCTGCATGTAAATAGTACCACAGTCATTTCAGTCTTACATGGTCTCCTTTCTCAAAATGGCGCATCACTTTGCGCTCTAGAACATCTGGGAACAAACCAACCTGCAACCAAACCATTGGTTAGCAATTTGCTTTTTCATCCAATTAAAGTACAACATTTATCTTATACCTTTTTTAAGAGATACACATCTAGATCTGAAATCTGAGATTTAGCAAAATCACCCTTTGTGTAAAGATTCACCCCAGCATCAGCTGCAGCACAAAATAGCTCGTCATTGACTTTTGAAGACTTTTTGCCATCTTCCTCAACCAGGATTCTATGAATAAATTGATCTACCTGTACTTGGACACAAAATAATACTGTTAGGGAATGTCAATGCTACTTGACATTATGTATGAGGAAAGTCAAATTCTTAATTCAATCAATTTTGATTTTACATAAGCTCCAACATAATCATTGAACTTACAGTCTTTGCCAGAAGCCAAACTCCATGTTTATGAACCTCCACCACTGGCATCTCCATTCTGCACATATCATACAAAAATGAATCAAGCCAATGAAAATTAATAGCAAATGAAGGTCCAGAGTTATTAGACTCTCACTCTCTTACCCAGCTGGTGCTGTTGGCCATCTAAGCAGTGCAATTACAGCATCTGTTTACACACATGAAATCATAAACCAGATAACACTTGGTTGCTTCTCAAGAATAACGACTTCCAGAAATAGGTGCAACTTCATCCATACCTGAGCTGCTTTTAGCCAATGGAATCGCAAGGGGTATCAACCCTTGCTTAGCTCCAGGAGAAATGATGGATTCACCTGTTATTGATAGTCCAATGCAAACAGAAATATGTAAGGACTCTTGAGACAAGTAAGCAAAGCAATGCCATAATGATGTATACATACATAGACCAAATGTAGAGTAAATTAATTATTCAAATTAAACAATAATAATCACAGCATATTCATCACAAAGCAGACTTCATTCCCCAAATGAGCATAGCAGATATCAAAAGGAAACAATTGGAAGATAATAATATCAAAAAGACACTGTTACCATATGGATTTTAAATGTGAACAATAAGCAGTAAGCAAAAAAAACTCAAAAATTGCAAGCCAGAAAACAAAACCCAATTCCCAGGAGATAAAACCCCAAAAAGTGAAATTCAATAAAAGATTATCATTTCAGTGATATGATTTGAACAAAAAAAAGATGATTTTGCTCTATTATAATAGTGACCTTTTTTACTTTACCTCTGGTCTTGAGCAAATTCAGCAAATGTGACAAGTGCTTTGGGGGCTCAGTTGCAGCTACGTCTTTTATGAAACTTACATGCTCTGCAACTTCCCAAACCCAAATGTTAAAAATCTGTAAACAATAACTAAAGAAATGGGATAGCCATAGGATTACCCGGAAAGGAGGAAGAAGAAGAATATGGAGAGGAGAAGCCGCGAAGCGTTGGTCTTCCATGGACGAAAAGCAGAGAGGTGGCGCGTGGAGCTCCATACACCACTCCGCCGCCTATCTTCATTCCTTCAAAATTGCGGTGGTGCTCTGTGCTACTGCCACTGAGCCACTCCAATCGTTGTTTGTTGAGGTCCCTTTCTCATGTCATGATGTGGTTTCTCTGGCCCATTTTTAAGGTTTAGGCCCAACTCTCTTTCCAGCATATCCAATTCTTAGAGTTATAGGGCCCAATTAAGTATTGTGTTTATACACGAATCTTAATAGGGGTTGTTGTACACTGTCGGCAACCAGACTTGCTGCGAGTAACAGGAGAATATTCACTAATCAATTATGAAACATATATATTTCTTTTATTTTCAAAATTTTTCTTCCTAATTTAAAAATCGATGAGAAAAAACTAATCTATAATGATCTAGCACATGACAATCAAGAGTCACTGTTACGGTCTTACTTGATTTTAAAAGAATTTACCGTTGGTTATATAAAGTTAGATTCATCTTTTACGGATATAATTTAAGAATCTTATCTTAATTTTTGAAAATAAAATTATATTTTTTCCTAAAAAAATTATTGCAATAGCTAAAGCAATTATAGTGGGTTCTAATTGGCAAGTCCTGTTTGGGATTGTGGCCATTGATTAGGACACAACATGCGCATGAAAGGAACGGAACTAGTACAACAACTTTGATGGTTAACTATCTGTAATTTGGATAAATTATTCAGGTTTAGTTCAATTTGGACCTCATTTTGGGCTCTCAAATTAAATTGGAGAAGCACAAAGAAAAGTGTCAAATTCAGAAACAACTAAATTCCTGTCAGATAATGGCATATCCTACACGCCAGGATATGGAAATGGGAATATGACTATTCAGGTTTCAGTGCATCTTTTTAAGCTTTTGAATTTTGATGGCTATAGTTTACATTTTCATCTCTTTGCTACATCACAGTCAAATCAATAAAGTAGATCCACTAATTGTATTATTTTTGGGTTTCTTTCATATATTTAATTTAGCATTTAACAAGCAATATAAATATTTTTTTAATTTTTTATATAGTTGTTTCATTATCAATTTATTTAATAATGTCATTTTATTGTCAACATAAAATAATTTAAAAATTTTTACTTAACAACAATAATAATATGATTATTAATGCAATTAATTTCATCATTATTTTTTTTATCTAAATAATCATTTGAGCCTATAAAATGTATATAATATTTCTCAAGTAAGAATAGATAACTCGTATTAATGAAAGCAAGATCGATATACATTTCTTTTCCAATAAAATTAAAATAATAATTTATCTGAATCTTCTATAATTGAATTGTTTTTCCAATAAAATGCAATATATGATTAAAGAGGTTTTGTATAGTGATTATCACAATATTATAAAATATGGGTGATTTTGAGAAATTTTTTCTTCCTTGGTGGATTGCTTAGACAATCATATTTTCTCATTTGACAAAGCTCTAATCTAGATTTAAGACTACCTCTGAAGATTTGATCTCTAGATGCAGCAGAAATAGTAGTCATAGATAGGGTGAGGACTTTGAGCTTTTTTGTCTTTTTTCTTCCATTATTTCTATTATTGGGGTTTGGTGGGTTTTATATTTTATTGTATTTTTTTTAGATCTTGTATTGGGATTTGGTATTTTTTTTATTACATTTTTTAGATCTTGTAATTTAGACTTGATTAGGACAAGTTATGACATGTGATTATGCAACCTTCCAATAATTGAAATTATCCTTTGTTAAAATCATCAACATTATGTCATGTGATGATGAACTTAGAGGAGTGATAAATAAATAAATAAATATATATATATAATATAATTAAAAGTTAAAACGTATCACAAATTAAGTTCTTGATATTTATTACAAAAATAACTAAAAACTTTATTCATTCCAGTGGAATCGATGAACTATCATCCATACTGGACGTAAATAAGGTTATTTAAAACTTAAAAAGTGAAAATATTATTCTCACTACAATAGAATAATTAGACAGTCACAGCATCCATGAACTCAGGATCACTTCCCATAGCCGTCAAAATTTCAGGAGAAAAGCTAACTTCAATATCTACACTTCCTTCCTCAGCTTCTGGAAATAAAGTGATCTTCCGGCAATACTTGTTTCCAGGACCGCTTCGCACTGCAATTGGTCTTCCCCAATTGAAATCGTTACCATAAACGTTAAACCTTGGCGAACTACTTGTTATCAGATCATTCTCTGGAAAACCACCCTGTTTATATAGCTTAGGATTCTTTACCCATGATTCTAAATTGTTCCTTACCTTGTCTTCTGTGTAACCAGCAATCATCCTGTTAATCTGTAGAGCTGCGTAGCCAAGTCCATTTTCCATTAACTCTCTTGCTTTCAGTGTTACTGTCCCGGTCTGAGTTGCAGTTCCAAAATATTCTTCTGGTATTGGAGGCTGTAACCTAGTTCTAATACCAATATGAAAATGAAAATTAGTTTCTTGATCAGGATCAATACTTTGCTCATTTCGAATTACAGATCGCCAAAGATGAGCCAAGATTGATTGCAAAGTGGATATTCTCTCACAGCCAGATTCAGTTTTGGCTTTTTCTTTAAGCCATGCAATTTTTTCCTTTGTGAAATGGAAAACTCTCTCTTGCTTCAGTGTTGGAATGGCTTCACTATTATTAGTTTTGATGACTGATAGAGGCAAGCGGATAGGGCAATTATAGCTATTGCTGCGAAACCAGTGTTCAAACACAGGAGGTTTGGTGATGTGATCTGAGCCACGAGATATTTCAGACCAAGAATTGATGAAATTCCAAAATGTGGTACCATCAGCAACAACATGGTTCATGGTGCAGCCTATAAATATTCCATCATCTAACTCTGTAACCTGAACTGCAACCAAAGGTTTCGAGATGCCATGGTAGTTCTTCATCCCGTTTAGTGGAAAAAATGAGTGAACAATAGAAGGGACATAGATGGGTTCAAGAATGTCAGAAATGGTAATATTATCAGCAACAGCATGGATAAATTGGACTCCAGAATTGTTGCAGTCGATAAAGAAAGAGACAGTGTTGTCATCGTGCTCGACAGTTGCTAGGCGGCCTGCAAGAGGAGTGAAGAAATTAAGTGTGAAAGAAAGTGAGTGCTTCAAGTGTTGGAGAAAGGTTTTGTCTGATATTTTGCCTTCTGGTGGTTTGGGTTTGTGGAAGAGAAGTCCTTTTTGAATGGTTTCGACTAAAAGGAACTTAAGATCACTTGACATTAACTCAATCCTTTGGGTTGATTCCTTGCTACTTGTTGCTTGAACAATACTTGTAGAGATGAGTTCAACGGCTGCCATTTTCTTTATTGTGGCAATTAGCAAAGCTTCTTTACTCTTTTGTCTGCTACTCTCTTTTAGTTTTTGTTCCATTGGAGGACAACGCCTCAAGCTAAATAATGGCACCTATCAAAATAAAAAAAAATAATAATAAAAAAATTTAAGATAAGTTTGTGGTTGACAGCCTATAAATAATAGTAGTAATATATTTTTGAAATAAAACCTACTCTGCCACTCAACATGTTATTTAGAACAAAAAGCTATAGAAGGAATCTTTTAGCTTAATTTATTCACTCAACTTGAAATTTACATGTAATTTGTCTAAAAAATCATATATTTTAGGGTTTTTTTAATTTTATTTACGGTCTAAAATTAGGCCTTCAAAATTCTGAAATTTATTCTTCAATTTTTTAAATAATATATAATTATGATTTTCTTTTGTGTAAAACTTCCTATCTTTTAATATATTTAAATTATATTTGGAATCAATAGATATCAATAAAAGAAATTTTTTAATTTTTCATTTATTTTTATGTTTTAATAATATCTAATAATAAAATTATATCTTAGTGTTAAGTAATTAAATTAAAAATATTATTTATCTATATATTATCCTTATTGAATTATTTGAATTGTAAAATTTTATCTATATAGAATTATCTGTGATGGGATATGATATTTAAATTTTTTGAATTATAAATTTTAACCGAAACCTAGACATAATTAATTGAATTTTTAATTATTTAAAATAAAGTAATTACGTGTGATCGAAAGTTGGTAGGTAGTAATAATTCTAACACATATTCTCTTAGTAATAATTCAACAATGTATGGAGCCAAATGAATGAGAAAGTTGGTAGGTGACGATGTGATCGAAATATCTGCCAGGGATGTTAATTATGTGGTTAAGCCCATTTTGCAGATAGCTAAGAGATAGAGTTAATGGAGGAGAACATTGAATTCATCTCCAATACAATTGTGAAACCCACAAATAGCTACAACTCAGCTCAGAGGATTGAATTTACACCATTTGATCTTCCATTCCTTGTTGTTGATTACACCAACAGAGGCCTTCTCTTTCTCGAACCCACTACCTTACAACTTTCAAAGCTGAAAAACGAGAATGTAATTGACCACCTTAAAAATTCACTCTCTAAAACTCTAGAAATTTTCCCTCCCTTCGCGGGCTGCCTTGCCACCATTGAAAATGAGGATAAAACAACTTCTTTTTTCATCGATTGTAATGACGCCGGTGCATGGTTTGTCCATGCCAATGCTAAGACTGTTACCGTTGCTGACATTCTTGATTCTTTATATGTTCCTAGTTTTGTCCATTCTTTTTTCTTGATGAATGGAGTTTATAAATTTGAAGGTCATTCCAAACCCTTACTTGCAGTGCAGGTAACTGAGCTGGTCGATGGCATTTTCATTGGTTTCACTTACAACCATGCAATTGCTGATGGGACTTCTTTCTGGAATTTTGTTAATAAATTGTCTGATATGTCAATAAGTTGTGAAAAAAAGTTGTTACAGACTTCTAGGCCAGTTTTTGGGTTTGATTGGTTTCTTGATGGGATTGATCATCCCATTAGGGTTCCTTTCTCATATAATGAAGCAATTTCTAATAGATTTATCTCACCACCTTTACTAGAAAGAGTGTTCCATTTTTCCCAGAAAAAAATTGCACAACTTAAAACCAAAGCCAACGCTGAGATAGGCACATCAAAGATTTCATCTCTTCAAGCAATCTTGGGTCAGCTTTGGAGATCCATAATTCGGCCTAGAAATCTTGATTCTGATCAAGAAATCTATTGCAGAGTACTCGTAAACATGAGGCAAAGATTGCAGCCTCCATTGCCGGACAAGTATTTTGGAAATGCAGTATTATTTGGAATAGCAGCAACAACAGCGGGTGAGCTGTTAGCTAATGGACTAGGCTTTGCTGCTTTGCAAATAAACAAGATGGTTGCTAGGCAAACAGATAGTGAAGTGAGAAAGTATTTGGAAGGTTGGGTTAAAAGGCCAACGTTATCAAAACTCAGTTCTGCAGCAAGTAATGCTCTGATTGTAGCAAGCTCGCCACGGTTTAATGTTTTTGGAAATGATTTTGGATGGGGAAGACCAGTTGCCGTGCGAGGCGGAGCTGGGAATAATTATGATGGGAAGATTACAGTTTTTCCTGGAGTGGAAGAAGGGAGTGTGGATGTTCAGGCTTGCCTTTTGCCTCAGATATTACATGCTATGGAAGAAGATGAAGAATTCATGGATGTTATATGCACTTGATTTGCCTCAAAGTTTCTGTTATCATTAATGTTTCCAATTCCCAGTTGAAATTATTATTAAGCAATAATGAAAATAAATTCCTGGATTTTCATACCCAATTTCATTAAGATATTAAACATTATCTGATTGCAGTTTTGAGACACTATATTCTTTATGTAATACTATTTACATCAATATAGCAATTATGACTTATAAACGACATAAACAGACTTTATGCTCTTCAAACAATGAAATATAATATAAATATGAAAAGGAGATAGATAATTTCAGAGGAAAGAATAGGCAAATTGAGAGAAACTTTTATTAATTCTCTGTGTATGACATATATATATTTATATACAATTCGGATCAAAATTGTATGTTACAAGATTGTTTTAGGAAAGAACTAGACTAATGATTCATAATATTGAGAAGGGAAACTCTGATTTTGACCAGTTGCCTATAGATGCAGTCAAGTTCCTCCTCTGCTTCTTGAATGGTTGATTCCAATGATTCCAATCCTTTAAGAACATTTTGAAGTTGTAAACAATTGATATCTTTGCTTGACTTTAGGATAAGCAATTCAGAATCAATATTCCTAACTTCATTGTCTTCAACTTCCACTTCACATGACACACGCTTGGATTGCATTAGCCTTGAGATGACTGAGGACTTTGTTTTTGCCTTTGGCTGAGAAATGAAAGATAAAATGGACTTTAACACTGCAACGCTCATTTCCTCAACACCTCTTAGCATGCTGATCACGTTGGAACTATTGTCCAATGCTTCTGTTGAGCAATTCCTCTCTTTACACCTCTTAGCATGCTGATCACGTTGGAACTAATTGTCAGCAATGCTTCTGTGAGCAATTCCTCTCTTTTCTATTCAATTCTTACGACACCTTTTTTAATCAATTTGTTCAATTGCTTTCTTCGACACCATGATGCATCAACTTCACTTGTCCCTTTTCTTCTTCTACGGAGAGATAATTCGAGTTCCTTGCAATATTCTTCATCTGTGAGAAAACCTCTTGTGGTGTCCACCTACAAACCAATAAGCTCAAGAGATCATTCAATGCATTTTCCTGCACACAAGCTTTGCCCTCTCATGAGAAAGAGTCCGCCTTCAGCACTTTGCAGTTGAAGTGAATCATCCACACACTCCAACGATTTTTAGATCCGCTCAATTTTTTCCCTAATTGATTGGGACTGTGATGCCTTCAATTCTGTACAATTGGCACTCAAATACTGAGACTGAGGGGGGATGAAGGATGTGGATGGCAAAGCTGATGAAACGGGAGATGCAACAAGCAGTCCCATTTTTTTTTTTTTTTTTGTGTGTGTGTGAATGTAGAGTAGTCTTGGTTGTTGTTGAAGCCAATGCATTGAACCCCTTAATTATATAGAGAAGAGCAACAAAACTTAAAAAAGTATCATCTTCTTGATCTTGATCTAAATTGGCTGTCATGTTCTGAGTTTTGCGGCAATCTTAGCAATTGTCTCATCCATGTTCTGCTGTGATTAAGCAATATGATTAGACAATTTCTAGACACAAAAATCAGAATCAAATTATGTAACATTCATTGAGGTTGAGTCCATGCATGGCATCTAATAATTCTAGCATGGCATCTAATAATTCTACTAAGATAATCAAAATATGTAATAATTTAACATTAATTGGTACACCAAATGATAAAGAAACCCTTGATAATGAACAACTCTCATCAACATCCATAGTGTGAGGGAGCAAGTAGAATCTTGACAGCCTTGAACTTGATTAGACATGAATTAGACACAGTCCAGGAAATGCATTATAATTAAAGTAATAAAGCAATCTTGTTTATTAAATATCGAGCATGATCCACCTATATGGCTGCTGATAATTTATTATATGATCCATACATATATAATGACATAAAGATGGGAGACATTTTGAATAAACTAAAACTCTTATACTAATCTAATATCGAGCCAATGAGAGGTCTTTGGTTAATATTTTATGCAAAGAAAAATAAAACCTTTCAATTCTCAGAAATTCGAAAGTTTATCTATCTTCAAATAGTTGCCCCTTAAATTTTGGACAGTAGAGACAAAGTCAGTGTTTAAACTAACATTTGATGTTCAGATGACCGTTGATGCAAAGAAAAATAAAACCTTTCAATTCTCAGAAATTCGAAAGTTTATCTATCTTCAAATAGTTGCCCCTTAAATTTTGGACAGTAGAGACAAAGTCAGTGTTTAAACTAACATTTGATGTTCAGATGACCGTTGTTAAATAATCCAGGCCCAAGCAGCAGAAAGTATTTTCAACAGAGAAAGTTCACATCTGATTACTTCCACTGACTTGGATCTAAATTGAAACAATATAAACACACTTTGAATTTCCTTGCAATGAAATATACTATAAAATTCCAAAACTATGAAATATTGAGAGGGGAGAATAAGGAAGTTGAGAGAAATGCTATTAACAGAGTATATTAGTATTAACCGTCATTCCCTATCTGTACATTTATGTATTTTACAATTTGGATAAATTCTATGCTACAAAATTGTGTTGGGTAGCTGCCAGATGCAACACAACTAATTATTCAGAATATTGAGAAGGGATACTCTTGTTTTCACCAATTGCCTATATACGCACTCAAGTTCCTCCTCTGCTTCTTTAATGCTTGATTCCAGTGACTCCAATCCTTTCAGAACATTTTGAATTTGCAAATGTTTGATGTCTTTGCTTGATTTTAGGACAAGCAACTCAGCATCAATGTTCTCTACTTCATTGACTTCCACTTCACATGAAACGCGCTTGGATTGCAATAATTTTGAGAGAATAGAGGACTTTGATTTTGCCTTTGGCTCAGAAATGGAAGATAGGATGGACTTGAACACCGCAACACTGACTTCTTCGACATCTCTTAGCATGCTAATCATGTTCGAGTTATTGTTTAATGCTCCTGGTGAACAATTCCTTTCCTTTCTCTTCAAATTTCTCAGAGACTTGCAAATTAGTTTGTTCAACTTCTTTCTAGATACCATATATGCATCAACTTCGCTTGTCAAGCAAAAGTCTCCGCCTTTTCTTCTCCGGAGAGATAATTCAAGTCCCTGCACACATTCCTTCATCTGTGAAACGAAATCTCTTGTGGTGTCGCACATATCCAATAGCTCTATAGATCCATTTAATGCATTCTCTGCAGACTTGTTTGGATTTTGTTGGGTGGCTGGCAGTTGAAGCAAATCATCAACACACTCGAACAAATTTTTTAGGCCATTTAGTTTCTGCCCTATTGATGAGGATTGGGATGCCTTCAACTTGTACAGTTGCTCCTCAATACTTAGTGTTAGAGGATGAGATCTTGATGGTAAACTGATTGAACGGAGATGACAAGCAGCCATTTTTTTTCTCTGCAGAAGAAAGGCTATCAAGGAGATATTTACAGAACGTCTTAGACCTTTGTTATTGTCTCAGCCATCAAATTGAACATCTTATATATAGAAGACCAATAATAGAACTTAAACAATCTCGACTTCTTGATCTTGATCTAAAGTGGCTGTCATGTCGTGTTGTAATGAAGCATTCTGATTAAAAAAATTCATGACGAGTATATGCCCCAAGATTCCAAGACACAAAAATCAGCATGAAGTTATTTAACATTGAGATTGAGTCCATCCATCTAATTATTGTATTGAGAAAATGAAAATAAGTAATAATTCAATGTTGGTACCTGATAGAGTTGTTTCCTACTGCGTTTGCATGTGCAGAATCCTAATGGACTCCAATAAAGTATTTATATCCACGAGGGAGATGAAGCTGCATTTGCTGCACAGACAAGAACACGCACATAATTGCTCCATTTTCTCTAATTCTGCACTCCAATTGATAAGGAGACTGTTCGACAACTCTGATTGGATGCCTGGTGTCAAGGAGCAAGTAGAATCATGACAACCTTTATTTTATATAAATTAGACACTTCCATGCGTGTTTAGCTAATTTCTTTACATGGATCTGGTTGATCAAGTGCAAAGCACGATCCATCTATACAGCTGCAAATCCACCTTAGCTGATTTCTTTTATGAACCAAACAATGAGAGAAAGATGAGAAAGCCATACTTAAATAAACACTAAACTAATATTCATAGATGGGGCAAGTCTATTTGTAATTATTTAATTTGAGTCAAGCAGAAGAATAGACTATAATACATCTAAAGCATTACATCAATCAAGAACTTCTTATGTGTCTGAGGAATTGTTAGAATAACTTACGATCAATAAAAGGAATAACTAACGATCAATAAAAGCAATAGTCATGCAGTTGCAAGATAAAAATACAGAAATAGTAATATTGCTCAAGAATGTTCATTAATGGGCGCTTCACTAAGTCAAAATCTCTTCCAAAAAGAATAAGCAAACATTCAGGGAACAATTACCTCCAATACATAGCACCATGTTATGCAGTAGCAAATACAAATAGCTTAAAGATTAATGAAAACGAAATCAAAATATAGCATATACAGATACATATTCTGCAGAGTCTCTTTAGAAAAATTGGTTGACATGCAGGCCAGATAAATATGATACACATGCCTTTTACAATACAAGTACAGGATCTTAGGAGATCTGGGTTCCATTGTGCTTATCGGGATCAAATATAAAACTGCCAGTTCAACAATTGTAAAATCACAACATTTTGAACCCTTTTGAAGTGGAGGACAAACAAGATGATATATATATATATATTGAGAGAGAGAGAGAAGATAAACAGTAACCTTAAGGAAATGTTTTGAGACGTGTATTAGTATTAAAATGGATTTACTTATCTTTGTATGATATATACAGTAAGGTACAAAATTGAATGATACAAAATTTTGTTAAAGGTTGTTTGAAGCAACAACACTAATGATTCAGAATGTTGAGAAGGGAAACTCTGGTTTTCACCAATTTTCTATAGACACACTCTAACTCTTCCCCTGCTTCTTGAAGATTGGACTCCATAGCCTCCAATCCTTTCAAGACATTTTGCAGCTGATTGATGTTTTTGCTTGACTTCAAGACAAGCAATTCAGCGTCCATCATCTCCATTTCATTGGCTTCGACTTCATCTTTACATGATAAATGCTTGGATTGCAATAATTTTGTGACAATGGACCAGCCAGAGGGCTTTGATTTTGCCTTTGACTGCATGGTGAAATATAAGATGGACTCAAACACAGTTAGACTAATTTCCTCAGCACCTTTGAGCGTTGTAATCACCGAATCAGAATAATCAGCCAAGGTTGTTTTTCTGCAATTCTTCTCACTTCTCTTCAAATTTCTTAGGTACTTGCAAATCACTTTAGTCAATTTTTTTCTAGATACCATGTATGTATCAATTTCATTCAAACAAGATTCTCCTCCTCTAGTTCTTCGAACAGATGATTCAAGTCCTTGCACACGTTCTCTCATTTGCAACAAAAAATCTCTTGTCACGCTGCAGATATCCAACAGCCCCAAAGATTCATTCAGTGCTTCCTCTACATATTGTTTTTGGTGCTCACGAGAGAGAGTTTGTTGTGTGTGAGGCAGCTGAAGAAAATCACCAACACACTCATATAACTCATTAAGGCAAGCCAATTTCAGGGCTATTGATGAGGAATGAGAAGTCTTCAACTTGTACAGTTGCTCCTCAATTCTTCCGCTAAGGGGATGAGATGTGGAGGGCAAGCTGTTGGCACGGAGATGGAAAGAAGCCATTTTTATATTTTGGAGAAGAAAGCCTACCAAGAATATGAATGTGCAATTGGCCTATGTTAGCTATCTTTGGAAGACAACCCATTCTATCTCTTATATATGGAAGGAAGCGTAATTCTTTCCTTTTGAATTCTAGATATATATTAGCTGTCATGTTCCAAACTTTGAGACAGTACCGCCAATATATCTCATTGTTGTCTTGCTAAAGTAATTAGGAGTAATGTTTCAAAGAAAATTCTGGTGGATTTAAATTAAATAATATAGCTCCCAGACAGAAAGATCAGAATCAAATTGCACAGCTATCTTTAGGTTATTATAAGCATCGCGAGCGATGATGGACATAACAAGAATCGTAATATATACATCCACGAGCAGAATGCAGCCATATTCACTGGACAGGCAACAACCAAAGCGAAGCAATAATCGACATATTATAGTTATCAATTGCAAGATGAATATGCTAATAAAAAAAAAATTGCAAGACGAATGAATATGTGCCGTGACTAGACAGCAACATCTCCTACAATACCCAATCGAAAACTTGTGTCTTGCTGTGATTTCTTTCAAGCATTGAATCAAATACCTGAATTGAATTGCTGCCTTGAGCACTTGCACGACTGACATGAATGACGACAGCGCCTTCAAATCAATTGCCAATTGAAGAATTTCCTTCTACAAAAGAAACGACAACGTCATTTGATCTTCCGCATATAAAAATCACCCAAAAAGGGTAAATTCAGAAAAATAATAATAACTTTCATTCGTTTTCTCAATTAAATTATATTTTCATTTCCTCAATGCCATTTTATTTTCTTTGTCTATATTAATTTGGATGAATTGCATAATGCTTAATATTTCTCCAATTAATTCATTATGATTTTTATATATCAGAACCTTTTTACATTAATAAATTCAATTCAAGTTTAATTCTTCTCAAATTAGATCAGGAAAAGAACCAAAAATCTTAAAAATAACATTTTAATTAAGTTTTTTAAGTGGCGATAAACTTACAAAAAGTACTAAAACCGAAATAATTTTTGTAATTAAGCAAAAAATAATAATAAATAAAATAACATCTAACCTTCAAGAGGAAAATTCTACAAAAAAAAAAAAAAAAAAAAAAAAAAAAAAAAAAAAGGACATAAGTTTTGTTTATAGATGAAACAGAGCTGCTTTTTTTTTTTTTTTTTTTTTTTTTTTTTTTTTTTGACGAAACAGAATTTAAAAATGTAATGCAGTTAGTTGGGGCAATTTAAACTGGTGAGCAAGGCACACTTATTTGAAGCAAAGATTAATTATTTTTAATTAGTGGCCAGTCTATTCTGGAAAAAAGAAAAAGAGAGAGATTACTAATCCAAGTTAGATCGCCAAAAGAACGCGCCCACTTCAGAGCTCGTTTGTTCAAAAACATGAACAGGGATATGATGCATAAGCAAGGCAATCAAGATTATTCAAGATCAATTGAGGGAAACTGGCACTGAATTTGAGTGTATTTGGTAATTGGGTTTTCAATTTTTGTGTATATATTATAATTATACAATGTTGGATCAAAATTGTATGTTACAAAATTGTGAAGGAAGTTCACGGGAAGACAACCTAATTATTCAGAATATTGAGTAAGGGATACTCTGCGTTTTCACGCAATTGCCTAAGCATAACGCACTCAAGTTCCTTCTCATGGGCTTCTTTAATGCTCGACTCCAATGACTCCAATCCTTTCAGGAACAATTCTTGAAATTTGCAAATGTTTGATGTCTTTTCTTGATTTTCAGGAAGCAACTCAACATCAATGTTCTCTACTTCATTGAACTTCCGGTTCAGCCATGAAAAGCGCGCTTGGATTGCAATAATTTTGAGAGGATAGAGTAGGCTTGATTTTGGCCTTTGGCTCAGAAATTGAAAGATAAGGCATGGACTTGAACACCGCAACACTGACTTCTTGCGGCAATCTCTTAGCATGCTAATCATGTTCCGAGTTATTGTTTAATGGTGCTTCTGGTGAATCAATTCCTCTGCCTTTCTCTTCAAATTTTCTGCAGGTGAGCTTGGCAAATCAGTTTGTTGCAGGTGTGGCTTCTTTCTAAAGATACGCTTATGTTGACATGCAACTTCGCTTGTCAAGCTAAAGTCTCGGCCTTTACTGTGCTCCGGATAGATAATTCAAGTCGCGCTGCACACATTCCATCATCTGTGAGAAAAAGTGTCCTCGTGGTCGTCGCACATAATCAATAGCTCTATAGATCGGCATTCATGCATTTTCTCGCAGAGCTCGACTGCGTTTAGATTTTGTTGGGTGGGTGTTCGCAATTGAAGCAAATCATCAACACAGCTCGACACACAATCTTTTTAGGCCATTTAGTTTCTGCCCTATTGATGAGGATGTGTTGATGTCTTCACTTGTACAGGTGCTCCTCGATGCTTACTGTTGAGGATGAGAACTTGATGGTAAACTGATTGAAAGCGGAGTACAAGCTGGCCATTTTTTTAATTCTGCAGAAGAAACGCTATCAGGAAGATATTTAACGGGCACGAAGCGTCTTCAGAGCCTTGTTAGTTGTTCTCAGCCATCTGTGAACATCTTAATATGTAGAAGACCAACAACTAGAACTTAGACATTTCAGGCTTCTTGAATCTTGATGCTAAATTGGGCTGTCATGTCCTGTGTTGAATGAAGATTCTGATTAAAAAAAATTCATAGACGATTATGTTGCCCGGCGAGATTCCAGACAAAAATCAGTCATCAGTTTTTAGGGCATTGGCTTTATTTCATCTTGAGCTTTATTTCATCCATCTAATTAGGCATTGCATGTGCAGAATCTGAATAAGATACCAATAAACTATTCTGCTTCCACGAGGGGATGAAGCTAGCATTTGCTGGGGCAAGAACATGCCAATTATTCAAATTTGCTCTAATTCTGCCACGCCCATTGATAAGGAGCTCTGGCGACATACTCTCATGTGGGATGTCTAGTGTCAGGTAGCAGTAGACGGCCTGACACCTTGATTTTAGGCATAAAATTCGACACTTCCAATGGGCGTGTTTGGATGATTTCTTTGTATGGAATCTGGTTGAGCGATGCAAAATGGAAGTAGCGTCCACTCATTACAGCTGCGTTTTTTTTTTTTTCTAATTCAGCTCTTGGCTAATTTCTTTATATGAACCAAACAATGAGAGAAAGATGAAATAAGGCCTATATTTAAATAAACAATAAACTAAATTCATAATAAAGAGGCAAGTCTATTTGGCATGCATTCGTGGAGGGCCGACGCCATAATATATCTAGAAGAATTTATACTGAATAGAAGTGCATGCAGCTGCAAGATAAAAACAGATGATAATTGCAAAAAAATGTTTCTTTAGTTGGGGCGCTTCTCTATAAAGTCAAACATCTTTTGCAAAAAAAAGAAAAAGTAAGGACATTCACAACATGTACCTCGCAAAGCCGTACATCATTGAATGCAGTAAATATTAAGCAAATAGGCTTAAAGGTTAGAGAAATAGAACTAATGGTTGTTAAAGAAATCGCAATTATGCCATGGGGAAAGGGTGCTTTAGAAAATTGATTGAAGGTCAATTCAATTCATTTCGCAGATAAATAATGAATATGGCATGCCTTCCAAAAAGTGCAAGGATGCTGAAGGATATACAGCATTCCGTAACCATAATAGCCGCTTGTCAGTATCAATATCAACATGAATGGGCCAGTTTCTATCTCCGCAATTATTCTGCTTTTAACCATAAACAAAAAGAAAAGTAAAATGTGCGATCATGTTTATTTATTGTCTCAGGCTTTAGCTCTAAAGTTAACAGCCAATATAAATAGCCTTGACAATGTTGAGAAAATAAAATAATGCGCTGTGATATGAAAATGGCAATAACAATAACCATCAAATATTTGCTGACAAAGTCCTTTTGAATTTGGTTGAAACCAATTGCATTTTCTTTTGATAAATATCATGAATATGCATTTATTGAGTGTTAAGATACAAAGTATTGCCACATTCCGCCAATGCTTTTGAATTGAATGAATAAACATCAGTATAAATATCTATCTAAGAAAGAGGGCATAGACAGAAAATTTAAGAAATGTTTTGATCAGGAAGTTATTAATGTTGAAAAGTATCTTACTGTGGCTATCATATGATATATCCAATAAATGGACAAAACTCGAATGATACAAAATTTTGTTGGTGGACTTGATGGAAGCAGCAAACAGCTAATGATTGCAGACATGTTGAGAGGGAAACTCTGGTTTCAACGGCAATTGTCTATAGACACACTCTATAGTCCTCCTCTAGATCTTGGAATGACTCTGAATCCAATGTCTCCAATCCTTTCAAAAATATTTGGGGGCACCTGATTTGTTGTCTTTGCTTGACTTCAACGACGCAGCAATTGTGGCATGCTATTTTCTCCAGCTTGCCATGGGCTTCAACTTCGCTCTTGCACATGATACGTGCTTTGATTGCAATAGTCTTTGAGACAATAGACCAGCTAGAGTAGGCTTTGACTTTGTATTTGAATTGAGAAATGAAGATAAATGGACTTAAACAGAGATAGGACTAATTTTCTTCAGCATTTTTAGCATGGGCTAATCATGTTCAATAAATCAGAGCTATCACCATAATTGTTGTTCTGGCAATTCGTCTCAGCTTCTCTTTAAAATTTCTCGAAAAAAAAAAAAAAAAAAAAAAAAACGCAAATATTTGGCAGATCAGCTTCTGTTCAAATTTTTTCTCGATTAACGATTGATATCCGTCAACTTCATTCAAAGACAGATCTCCGCCTCTTCTTCTTGCTTCGAAATAGATGATTCAATGTACCTGCACACATTCGGCCTCATTTGACGACAGAAATCTGCTTGTGGTGGGCTGGCAGCCATATCGCAACAACGCCAAAGTCCATATTAATGTCTCTTCTACAGACTGGTTACTGCCTTTCATGGGAGAGTGTTTGTCTGGGTAAGGAAGTTGAAGAAATCATGCAACAGCACAAAACAACTCTTTCAAGCCAGCTAATCTGTGGCGCTATTGATGGGGATTGTGTATCTTCAAACTGTATAGCGCTACCTCGATGATTGAAGTAATTAGCGATGAGATCTAGACGGCAACTGATTGAACGGATATGAAAGGCAGCCCATTTTTATTTTTCTGCGCAGGAGAGATCCTACTAAGAATAATAAGCGAATGGCACTAGTGTTGATGTTTCAAGGAGGACGGCAACTTGTATCTCTTATACATGGAAGGAAGAGCAATTAAGGGGCAATCCCTTCTTTTTTGATTCTAAGATCTTATTAGGCTGCTCATGTACCAAGTTTTGAGACAGTACCCCGCCAATATCTCATCGTGTGTCTTGCTCAATATAATTAAGAAGAATCCCATTAAAGAAATTCCTATGAACTATATAATATTGCTCTACATTCAATGCGCTTGTTTGCTAATGCTCCGCAGACAGAAACATCACGATCTAAATTGCAAAACTTTAACTTTGCAATAAGTGGGGCAGTGTTAGCCGGAAGAACCCCAAATGAGCAATAATTGCTATAACTTTTAGAAATATCAAATTGCAGTATAATGGGTTCCATTTGCTCGGCATAACAAGTGAAATCTATAAGACATAAAATATATGCATGGCCACGAGTACAATGCACGCCATGTCTACTGAACAGAAGAAGAATGCGGCAGGCGTAAGCAATTTCTATGTATTTTAAGTTCTAGTCATAATTGAACTATATGAGCTGTTTGAGCAATTATCACGCGGTATGCCTGTGAGCGGGAGACACATCTGAAAGCCAGGCATCAATGATTAAAATGAATATTCTTTACATATCT